TTAGGGAGCTCGGGTTCTTACTTAGGGAGCTCGGCCCCTTAACAAGGAGCTCGCTCTTAACAGGGAGCTCGGGCTCCTAGTAGGGAGCTCGGATTTTAGGGAGCTCGGGTTCTTACTTAGGGAGCTCGGACCCTTAACGGGGAGCTCGCTCTAAACAGGGAGCTCGGGCTCCTGGTAGGGAGCTCGGACTTAGGGAGCTCGGGTTCTTAGGGAGCTCGAACCTTTAACAGGGAGCTCGCTCCTAACAAGGAGCTCGGACTAAGTACAGCGGTCTGGAGTTCGGGCTTGGTAGTGAGCTTGGACTTGCTTCCGATGTTCGTTGGGCGCTCTACTGTCCCGAGCTGCTTGCCTTTGCCACATGTCGGGTGATCGCGAGGTCGGGTCAAATTTCCCTTCATCACAACTGTTTGGCACGTTGTCAGCAAAAAACCTATCTCATATGATCCAATTACTTTTATATACATGAATTAGATAATCATCAATGTCTAATGAGAAAAGCATCTAATCGGGATCATCTGCCAACAAAAGATATCCCGACCCTCTATCAATATGATCTTAAACAGTTATACCGATAAATGGTGGGTCCAGGTCTCATAATGAAATGTGCGATGTTAGATGAAGTTGGTAGAGGGTTAGAGCGTCTTTTATTGGCAGAAGATCTCAGCTCAAAACGGTCTACTATACGAGGCAAATTTACTCTAGTGAATTGTTGTTATTATTTTTATGACAAATTTACCCATTGGTTATGTATACACGATGCAACATTGAGGTGGTATGGGTTGCAAATATTATAGACTACATCACCGCCACAAAATCTGAAACAACCCAACATGGAAGAGTGATGACTTGTTATAAGATCAACTCCACCAAAAAGATATGGAAAAGATTGAAAATACGAAGAAAAGAGAGTAAAAAGGTGCAATGAATTGCATTCCATTTCTCCACTTCTGCTCACTTGCTCAGAAAGATCAAAGGTTTAATTAATGGTTCTAGACACAGAAGCCTTCTTTTTTTTTTTTTTTTTCTTTTCTTTTTTCTTGGGATTCACGATGGTTCCCGCTCTTCTTCCTCCGAAATTTATTTGGTGATTAAGTTTCACAGTCATAATCCCTTTGTGCCATTGCGTACAAGCAAAATTTTATGATTAGGTTTCATTAATTGTTTAATTCAATTGATTTCCAATCGTGGTAAACATCGTTTAGATGTTTTTTTGAAGGCAATCATCGTTTAAATGTAATTTATTAGAAGAGAGAAAAACGAATTAATTTTAACCTGAAATTTTGGAATTGAAACTTTGTTTGGTTGCTAGAAATCACCCGAATTAGACAGTAGATTCTTGGTTTCTTACCAGACGGGTAAAGTAGAGCTTTCTGGAATTCATCCACTGATCCTGATCGGGACAAGAAGGTCCATAAATATGCAAACAGCACAACGGTGAGAGGTGGTATGGATTATGGAAATTAAACAAGGGACCTAATGGTAATAAACTTTCCGGGTTTCCAATTAAAATAATCAAAACAATGCGACACTCCACCAAATCCACGCTCAGTAAGTCGGTATTCCTTCTCCTCGGTTCCGGTTTCTCATTTTTCCCCTTCTTCCCTTTCATCCAAGATAGTCTCCTCAAGCCAGAAACCCGATGTTTCTGGTGAGTGGTGACCTTATCTACCAGGCGCAGAACAGAGGAGCCCCTGCAGTTATTTGCATTCGCAGGTAAAATGTGAAGATCGAATCCCGTCTCACCAATCCGAAATCCATTTTGTTTTCACGCTTTTCGAGAATTTATTGTGTGCGGAATTTATAAAAAAGCCCTAAAAAAATATCCTTTGAATGGTTTTTTGGGGCATAGCCTCGAAATTTGATGCTTTCCAATGATATTATTCATGATCATCGTGATGGTTTCTAGGGCTTGATCTTGTTTTAGGCGGGCAAGCAGCTGTTGGAATGTGTGAATTGTAACGAATCATGTCGGATTACGAATATCTTTAGCTTTGGGTCTTCTGGATTTCGATTCCATGGTTGACAGATATATTGTTCATAGTTGTGCTTTTATCTAGAAGAATTGGTTCTAGTGCAGCATTAACGATTTTAATGGTAAAAAGCAACTCATCGGTTTTAGGTTTCTTGGTGGGTTATCTCGATATTTGTTCTTTCTGGTTGAGTTGGATGAGTTTATGTCGTATATCCACATTGTGTGGATATTCATAATGTGTTTAGTTAACATAGAAAATCATGATAAACCAAACTTTTCTCTTCTTACCTGAATGCCGGTTTTTATAATTTGGACATGTACATAACGCAGAATGGATCCATCATCAAAATGATGGAAAATTTGGACATGTGTAACTTCATTTCTAATTTTAGTATCATGTTGGCGTTGGCGATGATTCCATTTAAATATGCATTTCCATATTCAGGTGCACTAAAATTCTGCAAATTAAGATCACTATTTAAATGAAGTCATTTATGCTTCACGCCCATTTGTTTGTTTGTTTAAATTTTTATTTGTTTGTTTTGTTTTGTTTTGTTTTGTTTTGTTTTGTTTTTTTTTTTTTTTTTTATGAACGTTTTGCAATATATGATGCTCCTGCACCTATTAGTTAATTGATCTTACCAGTTTTTCCCCTGCTAATTTCTGGAATTCATGCAGGCATAACTACCATCCTTTAGGTTTATATTCTCATATTTTCTTAGTTTTTAAATATATGGTGGACAAAATATATTACTACCATCAATGTTGATATTCTGAATAATTATGCTACTTATGTTTTGCTCGATCTAGAAAATAGAATGAAGAAGTTACTCAGAAATGCATCTTGTTCCACTTAAGTTTGTGATATCTTGAGTTATGTATTATTACTTCTCATTAAGATGATTATTTAATCGCTCTAATTTTCCTTTGTAATCTAATATTAGTTTTATGAATTTCTTTTATTTCCTGGTATGGATTGCAGGACACGTGTTTGAAGAATTGTATGGCAATCCATTGCATCACTAGTTATAGGACTGGCTGTGCGGTTGATACCATTACTTAATGGGAAGTATCTAAAGAGGTTTTATTTTTTGTCTAGCATAATACATTGAGTTGGTCCCTTTGCATTTACAAATTCAGCTGAGGAGGCCTTGATATCACAGAATTTGTATGAATATACTGACCCCTCGCAACATTCCGTTTGCTGTTGATGAAGTTGAAATTTGGAAGTAACTTTCTCACCAATATCAAGAGCAGGCTGCATTCAGATCCCTAGTTTCCAGCACTGCTGAAGCATATTACTTATTCTTCTAATTGGCTGTGTTTTAGTTAAATTTTCTGGGCAGTAGGCATGGGTGCTTTCTGTTGCTGCCCATGCAGTGAGGAGTTCGAAGAGTATGCTCATCCAAGTAATTCCATATACAGGCATTGTATATGCGTGCGGTACTTCCTCCTCCAGCTATTCAGTGGGGTATGTGCTGTTAAAGAACTGATTGACGACATTTTCACCACCATGTTATTGATCCACCATATCTTAAATTGATTGCCTAACCAATTTCATTGACAGGCTAAATGATATAAAGAAAAGCCCTGTTTTGAAGTTTAATGTCATAATGATTGTTTAATGATGTAGGACTGCAAGGAGAAAGTCTTACTATGGCACACATTGGTGGGTGAAGGAGGGAGGGGTGTTTTTGGAAAGGTCTAATACTATTCGAAAGGTTTGAGCTCATTTGTTGGCAGAGAAAAGAGAATAGGATTTGAGGATTTGAAAGAGGAGTGGGTCTGGGTCCTATGAGGTTCAAGAATGGGAGGAAATTCGCAGTTGTAGAGAAGAGAAAGGCCATTTGAGGGTGTGATCCTTCCTTTGTAGAAGAAGTGCAGTCTTGAGGCCATTCAAAGTTGGATGATGTAGTTTGTGCGCAATCGGCAAGAGTGGAAGCTCAGTGGCAGGGTGAAAATGATTCGAATCAGAGTGGTGGGTTGACTGCAGCTTCACCTTTGATCATCCCTGATGATAGTGGGGTGGCGTTTGTGTACAGCGGTGAATCTGTAGGTGTGGGGCTAGAAGGAGTGAACATGTGAACTTGATTACCGGTGTAGCCACAGTGGCTATTGTGGAGAGGATCCGGTCTGGTTTGAAGGTTATTGATAATGCCACTCTGTTGAACATTGAGATGAGTTCTATCCCTTTGTCTTCTTCACCTGCAATGGGTGACTCTAATAAGGAAGAGGAGAGTAGGGGGACGAGGATTGGTAAAGAGGGAGGAATAGGAAGCAGATTGAAGAGAAAACGTTCTAGTGTGGGTGTCAGGATTGATCAACAACATCAGGTGCATAATAGGAAGAGGAGGATCTCAGTACAGAGAAGTGGAGGGGTCGGTGTTGAAGGGGGAGAAGTCGTTGAATAGGGGGAGTTGAGGGAGGAAGACATGGGGGCAAGGAGGAGAAATTGGACCCTAAGGGAGATGAATTGTCTAGGTAAGGAGAATATTGATGAGGGAAGGGTGGGCATTCACCAACTAATTAAGAGACAGGTGACAGTGGGAAAGTCTCTTGGTCTATTCTTCCTGGATGGGGAGAGGGTGGTTAAGAAAGCAATTGAACATTTTGAAAGGAGCAGAAGATAAGAAGACAAGCAAAAGAAAGTTCCTTGGGAGGGGGGTGAGGTGTTGGAGGAAGGATAAGGACAGGAAGAAGGGATTGTGGTGGACGAGTGAAGGAAATTGGTTCTAAGTTGAAGATGAGTGGGGGTGGGGGGAGTAAGTGGAGAACAAAGCTGTTGACATGGAATGATAGGGGGTTGAGTCACTGAGAGAGGGAAGAAGGGGGGAAGTTTGAAGTAGAGAATGAAATTGTTGACTTGGAATGATAGGAGGTTGAGAAAGGGAAGAAGAAGAACGTAATACCTTATCAACAATCAACTTGTAATGCTTTTCTATTTTAACAAAAAATTTCCTTTTATGTAAAAAACAATAATTACTTTTGTTCATCAAATCAACATTAGAATGTCTCAATTTAGAGACTCAATGTAGGGTTGAAATCTCCCTTTACAAACTCTAAATTTCTAATTTAGGCTCAAAAACTGACTAGAAACAACTCTTAAGTGCACTGCAACTAAGATGAATCCACATATATAACCCATAGGAGTGCTCAAATATGGACTCAACTCAATGACTCTGAATAACAACTACGAATCCTATTACAGTAAATTAAATAAAAAACAACTTCAAATCACATATTCTTTCACATAGATAAACATAGAAGTCTCAGTCATTAATCAAATAAGTAAAAAATGACTCCATTATATACACCCAAAATAGACAGATCCATTCCATTTTGGGCTGACATCCTATTGCTAAAGTAGACATAACTCTCTCAAACCTAGGGATAATCATTGAGCAGGCCCTTCCTATGTCAATCATTATTGATTGTTTTACAACTATACAAACTAAAAACAATAATAATCTTTATGGAAGGGGATTCTAGAGTAATTATTGACTGGCTACAAAATGATAGTTTTGGAACTTGGCATCACAGGAACTCAATGAAAGAAGTGAGATGGCTGGCCAGGGAATTAAGAGAGGCTTTCACATGGATACAAAGATCGGCCAATAGTTTGGCTGATGCACTAGCAAAACAGATGCGACTAGAAACCAGCTGTATTGGGGGGCTGTTATTAATCAGGATTTTGATTCTATTAAGTCAAAGTTTTGAAATTATTGGGTTTGGAGTTAGGCAACAAGGGCTACTTGCCTAAGTGCCACTGGGGGGGGGGGGTATGCCACATTGTCTTTGTACCATGCTATAGTATTCTTTACTTTTGGGTTTAATGAAATTCTATACTTTTCCCTACCTTTTCTTTCATTTTTTTTGAATTGGTAAGACCCTTTAAATTCTTACAGCATATCTAATGATTAACCCTATTCCTACACCACTAAAAACTAGAACTGACCTTAGAAAACTCAAATTGACTATAAGTTATCACCCAAAAATTACAAAAAGTGTTATTGGTGAAGGAATCAATAGAAATTAGATTTCTTCACACCTACACCATTTACATTTTTTGATCTTTATGTGCTTTGTGCATGTGCACCTGTTTTTTCTCTCTTTCTGTATATAATGTATTTATACATGCATATTATAGGCACATTTATGTATGCGCCTCATAGTTGTGATTACATGACACATCGGATATATAACACAATTATTGACAAGCTCTATAAAAGTTAGAAACACAACACAAACACAAGGGTGGAACCATAAATTTTCTCTTAGGGGAGATATATGCACTGATTTGGATATTGTAATAAATATTTATTAGAAGGTGACAGCTAGCTTGCTGGTAAGCTAAGACCTGGGGGTGGATCCCACCTTCACCAGGGTTGGGGTGATTTTGGGGTTTGCAAGAAGGCTACCCACTTTTGTATAGCAAAGAAAAAGTAAATACTATGCAGTTGACACTTTCTGATTACATTGTCTACCATATCTCAAAATAAATTCCTTGACATATGAATAATCACCTGAATATTGTGGTAAATGAAAATTAAACGTTAGATTTTGTTTGTCCACTATGCCTTTTTGCTTATTTGTACTTATCTTTCTTTCTCTTATTTTTTACACAATTCAAAATTTGAAATGGACTAAAAAAACTTATAGTGAACAACGTGGAAATGCTTATAATAAAACAATTGAATAAGGCCTTTTTTGGATGGAAGTGGAAAACAAGATGGACCCATGGTTTAATGGATTCCAGTGATTAACCCCCTTGTCATTTTAAAATCAATACAATCGATGAAAAATGTGGTAAAGAGTCTGCTATTTTTATATTCCATGCAACCTACTTTTTGGAGCCAAGCAATGGAACCTAGAAAATAACATGCTTTGGGAATCTATTTCTATCTATATATAAATTCTGAGGGAGTAATCAATGTTCTTAAAATTTTCTAGGAAGGGGGAAAAGCAGTGATGCTAATTTTGTTGCTTACTTTATATTTTTTTGATAGATATCGCTGTTCATATTAAAGGTCTGGCAATGTTATTCTGACCATGAATTTCACCTTTGAATGCATGTGTGTTCCTTGTCCAACTTGTGCTTCCCAGACTTTGTGCACCGAGTTGCAAGTTGTGAGTAAGAATGAAAGTTCAATTGTGAGAGTTGGGTCCACTGATCCTTCTCTCCAATTTTTATATTATTCTTGAAATGAAAAATACAAAGACATAAAAAGCCCTGTTTGTGTAAATATTCTGACAAAAATACCACTAATTGTAAACAGATGACATTAACAACACCCATCATTTAATTATGTTATTTTATTTTCTATGATAGGTATAACATACATAATTATTTTATCTAGTGCTCTATTTTTCTCTTACCTGGCTTGCCTTTTTAATGTGCAGTACAGTACATTGTTCCATAGACTTGAAGGGCGGCCAGTGGCATCATCGGTTCAAGGGGCTACTTCTTTGGCATCATCTGGGGTGGGCAGCCCATTACCTGACAGTCCATTGACTGACACGTACCATTCTGTTACTAGACCAGTATCTTATGATGCTGAACAAAGGTATGCTCGCTTGCAGCGTGATGGATTAGTATCGAGGCGTGAGAAGTCCATGTCCCATTTCCAGGAGGAATCACAGCCACTTAGAAGAAACAGCAGTAGCTCTGGTGTAGAACCAATGGGTGCAGGGAAGAAATGGGATGGAATTGAGTCTGAAGAAGAATGTAAGGTTGGCCGTACAGAGTCCTCCGAAAAGGTTTTTTCTACTAAAGGCTCACATGGACTATCCTATATGCTACCATCATCCGAGGATGAAGATGTCTGCCCTACATGTCTTGAAGGTAATTTCATTTGTTTTTTTAATGCTTTGGATGTACTCTTATCTCATAACAGTATTATGTTAATATAGCGATATTCTGATATGTGGGCCTCTCAACTTGTTGGATATGGATGCTTAATTGCACTTAAGTGGTTGTAGAGCTGGAAAATGCACCATATCTTTATATTTAATGTTTTTATTTTAACTATGACTTGTATCTTGTTTGCAGAATATACCCCTGAAAATCCCAAGATTGTGGCACGGTGCTCTCATCATTTTCACCTCGGCTGCATATATGAGTGGATGGAAAGAAGTGAAAATTGTCCACTCTGTGGCAAGGTACCTATCAGATTACTTTCCATCGTGTAATATAATTTCAAATTAGATATATTATTTGAAAAGAAGTTAGTTATAATTTTATAAAAACTAATTCTTTATTTTTGTTTCATATCTCATAAGATGCACAAGGATTTGAAGAGTTTATGCCAGTTTTATGTAGGTATGAAGCACTGTGTCTAGATGTCAGTGGTTTTGAGCTTGTTGAAAGGGCTATGCCTATTTAAACAAAATGTATGAAAATAAAGAAATACATGCATATCTAAAATATACAGTGGAGGTGAGGAGGAACTTGGAAAAAAACAGCCAAAATGGATTCTCCCTCCTTTTCCTGAAAGAACACAGAGTAGGGCGTCAATGTGTCCAGAGACAAGATATCACTCTTGTTTTAGGCTCCTTTTGATTCTTCCATATGATTGTGTCAGGAGTAATGAATTTGATGGATAATTGAGTCAAAGTGTCCCTTTGATTGGCAGTTCTATCCAATGCTTCTATTCTGATTTATAGTGACAATATTTTCTCATCCAATATGCATGTCAGAGAACTTCAGGGGGCCATATCAGTGTTTTAAAGGCGCAAGGCGCAAAAAAGGCGGAGGGGTCAATTTGCACCTGAGGCGCAAGGCGAGGCGTGTGCCTTTTTGAAGCAAGGCGCAAAATTATAAAAAAAGTGCTAAAAAATAAAAAAAAATGTCAGAAAATTCAAAAAAAATAAAAAAATTAAAAAAGTACTAAACATAGTATTAATAAAAAATATAAACTTAATTTTTAAAATAATGTTTTAAAAAACCTATTATCTAAAATTAAAATACATAAACATAAGATGTAATTGTGTAAAGCATATTCAAATGAGAATTTAAAAATAAAATCAAAAACATTTTCAAGCATTTAAAACCTCTAATATCTTTTTTCACTCAATTGCATTACTTCACGTAGCTAATGTAATCTAGAACATATTACATTCCTGATTCTACGAGCTGCCTTTGTGCCACACCCCTTGAGGCTAGCCTAAACAAGTCCACGTTAGGTAAAAAGCAATTAAATAGGCACTGGTATAAAGTATAAACATTTTTCAAGCCTAAACAAGTTGTTTACCCAATGTATAAACATTTTTCATGTTGTTTACCCAATGTAAAATTATCCTTTTCTCACATTGGCATGCCTCAATATTGCGTTCTTAATTCGTTTACCCAAAAAAAGGTTCTTAATTCAATAGAAAGGAATGCTCATATTTGTTGAAACACTTTATTTTGTAAATAGGCACTGGGTGGGATAGGAATCTTGCACATGGTTGGTTGGTTGGTGACTGGGAAAGGTTCCATGTCTCTGCAACTATCTCTTTTCTCGTGTAGCAACTTTAAGTTGAATTTCTTTTTTTTTTGGCTTTTTTATTTAAATTTTTCTCAAATACCAATGGAGGAATTTCAAACATATGGGGGACTGGCTATATGATTCCTTGAATGGGCTAGTAGGGTACAATGTTTTGATATCAACTGGGACTGATCAAATGGCCTCATGATTCCTCCACCGGGATAGGAGGGTAGTGCAATAAGGCATTTAGACAAATTTGTCTACAACTTTTAGGAAATAAGAGAAAGATACCAGGTTATTGGCTGCATATTTTCAACTTACAAGTTCATTGAATATTTGTTTGACAGTAGACGTGTTAGAGTCTTTTCGTTTTGTTTCCTTTATAACTTGATGGCATATGACCTGAAATTCTTTTGTTTGTTATTTGATTGTTGCATGAACATCAGGAGATGGAATTCTGTGAAAGCCCATAAAATTTAGTTGGTCTTTGGTTTCAAAGTACCGGGAGAAAAAAAGTTTATCTAGGAGAGTGTAAATAAAGTTCCTCGAGCTTGTTTGTGCGATAACATCGGAGCAGAGGATGGTGCTTGTCCTTTCCATGTCCGTAGATGTATCATGTAACATCTTTGCAGCCAGTTCAATGTTCCTACTTTTCTTTTTGATGTACTAATGCCATCTTGCTTTGTATAGATAACAATGATCCAGCGTAATGCTATACATATGGATTGTAACCAGAGATTCATGAGTAACTCTTTACTTGTTATTTGCTTGGTTGAATCATCTTTCTGATCCATATGACCGTTACTTTTCTTCCATTGTTGGAAAAACATGTTAGTTGGCAGCCTTCAAGAATTATTTAGCCAGGTTTCATTAATAATAGCACTATAATTAATCATACATGTAGGCTATCACAAATCCTGATCAAATATGTCCATGGTACGTTAGTTATAATTCCTTTGCATTTATGGCAATTGGGGCTCGCAACTTGCCAAGTCTTTCCTTGATCTCTCTCATATAAACATATCTTTGTTGGATTTATCACATGTAGAGTGTTTCTTTCGGTTCAGTTACTGATCGTATTCATATTTATATGGAACCCACAACAAACGTCTCACTTTAACCCACAGTTCTACGGCTAAAGGTTCTGAAGTTGGGAAGTTGATTGACAGTTTCGATTTTCCGTTATCCAGTTCCAGTTACAAGTATGTATATATAGTTTTTGTTCAGCGAACCAACATCTCCAGTTTTCAGACTCCAAGGTGCCAGAACCTGCTCATTCCAAACAGGTTTAAAATGCTGAATTGCTGATTGTGGGTTACATACAAGGTACGAGCGCACTGCCCATTTCACCTAGGGCTGAACTGCAGCGGCTTCTGCCTTTCCGAGGTGGGGCCTACACGGATAGACTTTAAGCTATGTTTAGAGAAAAATCCCGAGAGCCCAAATCAGCTGTCAGCCTGCCAATCATTTTTTTTTTTTTTAATTTCTTGGGCCGTCTCCTCAGAATGCTTATCGGGAGAGTTTCAAAGCAGTTAAACTGGTTTAGCTGAAGCCTGAATGTTCACCTTAGCCCTCCCAAACGGGGCATTAGACTGTGGGTGGTCGCCAGGTCACTTTCCTGTGCTGGTGTTTGCGTTTAATGCACTACTTGCAGTATGACTTGCATTCTTGCAACATTTTTTTTATTCGTAGATAGGAGATCCAACGGTTGTTCCTCTTTTCCTCTCTCAGAGAAATACCTAATTCGAGGAAGGGCTCCAGGAGGTAGGAACTAAGGGTGTCAATTGGATTGGATTTGGTCCAATCCGATCCAGTCCAATGTGACTCCATTACAAATAGACGAACGAGGTCCAATCCAATTCAATGAATATTTTGACCAGTCCAATTTAATGTTCAGACTGTTCAAATTTGTTTTAATTTACATTGGTTTCAACTCAAACCCGGTCCATTGATACCTATATTTTTATCTTATATCAATGGACCAGATATTGGCTTAATCCAACCCAATCCAATATAAACTTATTATGGACGGACTAGGTCCAATCCAATTTAATGAGTATTTTGGACCGGATTGGTCCAATCCAATATGTTTTGTTGGTCCGTGTAATTTGTTTAAATTGATTTTGGACTGAATGGGGTCCAATCCAAAACCGGTCCATTGGCACTCGTAGTAGGAACAATGGGGACAATTCTATTGGGCTACTGTAGCAATGGTATTGACTCTTTTTTTTTTTTGTTTTTTGATCAGTGAAAATGATTTTATTAAAAAAGAGAATATTAGTACAGAGAATGGGTAGCCTCGGCTACCCCAATGTCCAAAGACATTCCACCTAAAATTTGCTTTATAGACTTACAACAGAACCCAAAAACAATGTTCCCTGTTAGCCCCTTGCTTTGCTAGTAAAACCATTTGCTGCTCTTGGAGTCCACTGAAATAAAACCTGCATATCCTTGGAATGATTAATTTTCTTAATATCATTTCTGAATACCCATGGAGCCTTTCCATTCTCAATGGTATTGACTCATTGAGGAAATGGTCTATTTACCCTCCCTCAAGTATTGGTGATGGTGGCAACGTATAAAAAAAAAAAAAAAGAAATTGAGAGTTTAGTCGTTAATGGTAAAAGTAAAACCAAAAGGATCAATTAGAACGTAATAATAATATGGTAGTAGGAACTTAAAGAGGAGGAAATAGTAATTGACAAAAAAGGGGGGGCTTTTTTGTATCCATCCCCTCGTAATTTACTAATCCCTATATTTTGCTCCCTATGTTTTCCGATTTTGCATTGATCCCTTCCCTCATGTCTTACAGCTTGGCTGCATTCATGCCCCTATCTATCGTTAAATAACAGTCTATTCTAAACCTTTATGACAAAATTACCTGTAAGTATCACTAAGATTCATTGTGTTTATTTATTTTTATTTAGAGAATTTGTTTTCATTTTGATATAAATGGCAAAGAAAACAAATGTTCCAACTCAAATATTTTAACCTGAAACCAATGGTGCCTCTAGTAGAAAACATAACCATGGACTAAAATGGAGGGACAAGATACCTACCTATCCTACTGAAATGAGGCAGATGGTGGTGGTCATTGTGGAGGCTCACGAGCAATTTCTAGGAAGCATTTTAGTTCCTAGAGGATATTTCATATTTCACCTTGCCATGAAGAACCAGTTTTCTGATATTCACATTGGCATTTATACCCTTGGCTGCAAAATCTGTCACGCATTAGCTTACTTATCTATAGGCCGTAGGAGCCTAGGAGGCTTGTCTTCAACTGATACTAGCTGTATATTGCATATGTAGGAATGTCTAGTTTCTCTCTGTGCTCAATCGGACCAACTCTACGGATCTTAAAGGGTTTGTAACAGACAAACAAAACTTGCAATGTGCTGTGACCATTTCTGATTATTGAAAGATAGACAAATTAATTAAGAGATGTTGCATGGTGCAATGGTAAAAGCCTTGGGCTGATAAGCGTCTCACCATGAGTTTGACCGTTTTGAGTCCAAGGAAGACCACATTGTGCAGAAAATGCCAAAAAGCTTTAGTCTATATCCAGTCTACCCTCCCCGGCCATGGCCCTGAGTGGCCCAAAATGGTCCTTGCAATATGAAATTAGCCGTCTTGTAATCAAATGGAGTCATTCAACACAAACATCACAAACAAGAAACAAGAACTTTTAGTCAACTGCACCTTATCAATACAGTTGGAAACTGCCAAGTGTGGAATTTACAGTTGATGTTTCACCCTAAAATCCCATCTCCCTTGTCACTTATAGACTCTTCTGGGTCAACAAATTTTCTTTCACCTCATTGTTACATTCTGTTCCCCATTCTCCGGATCCCTCTCTTCCCCGTACTTATACTTCTGTGCAGAATATAGAAAAGCACAGAAATTTATTACACTCAAAACGGTAAGAAGCCAGTACAGATAATCAAATCTACCAGTATTTATGTTCTGGGAAAGCCATGAGGACCGGCCTGCCTTTGTATCCCCCGTAACAGACTTGATAATGCTGTTTAATATAGAGGCTGCAAAGCAGCCAAAACCCCCAGCTACAGCAGCATAAGCAGATCCTATACTCCTCATGGCATCTGGGGCCTCTTGATAGAGGAATTCTAGAAGACCCACAATGCAAAATACTTCAGCTATGCCAATAAGGCAGTATTGTATCAATAACCAATATGCACTTAGGTCGGGCATGGGACTCAAGAAGCTAGCTTCATACCCGTGCTTGATTGCATAGTTTCTTCTGTATCTCTCGAAAACCCCAGCCCAAGCCACAGACAAGATAGAGACTGCCAAACCAATGCCAACCCTTTGAAGCTGAGAGGCACCATGGGGGTGACCTGTAATGCGGCGGGACAATGGGACAAAGATGGAGTAGTAGAGAGACAGAATGAGGAAAATGCTGAGGCCAGGAAAAACAGGCATACATGTCACTGGGAGTTTCAGACGTCCCATGTGGGTATTCAAGGTATATGCCTGCTGGACTGATAGAGTCAAGAATTCTGTCAAAATTACATTGAGCATTATAGTGCAGGCTGGTATTGGAAGGAGTTTCAGTAGTATCTTGACCTCTTCTACTTGTGTAACAGTGCAAAGCCTCCAAGGATTGGGATCGGCACCATCTTCTTTCAGTTGCAGAGCTGCCTTGTCTAGACACCTACAGGCCAAAAGGTTGTACACATTATCAATAGGATGTGGATTTGATAACAAAATGATCAATAGGATGTGAAATAATATGGATCAATATACAAAAATAGAGTCTCATGATGAGAGGACAAGTTAGAACCAATGGAGATGCTCCATTGTTTCTGAGGTCTAAGATCACCAAATATCCAACAAAAGTATTTCCTTAATATCCAACTGATCGATGGACCAGCTCTTAGATGTGCCCATACAGAAAAAGAAAAGCATTGTTATGACAGTCCTGACCATGTTTTATAGACTCTTCATCCAACCATTAATGCAGGTATCTCCCCATTCATAAAGGGAAATGATCAAATTGTTATATCACCCAAACTCCAAAGGATGTGGGTTTCAACTTTCAAGCAGGCGCAAAGAGGTGCTTCGGCTTCCCCATTTGAAAAAACTATTAAAGTGGGAGGGTCAACTGATTGCTGCTGAGAACAGATAGCAGAGCCTCCAAAACCCAGACACTGTTATTACAATTGAGCAGGCAAGAAATGAGTCGCTTACCTAAAATCATCAGTGTGAGCTATCTTTCCACTTCCCTTTATAACAGATCGCTTGCCTGGAACTTCATACAAGCCTACTAACTCACTACTGGAAAAGGAAGCATTTCTCTTCCGAAAGGCAGCAACTAGGACCTGGGCCACTCTTGTCAGGGGGCTGCCCCCAGGCAACCTGTGCCTGTATAAAGGAGTGCCTACAAAGAAGAGCATATTGGATATACCCATAGCTATGGCTAATGAACCAAAAGCAGATCCCCATCCATGCTTCATTTGAATGTAGACTACCATAGTAAAGGCCACAATTGCTCCAATGGTGACAGAAAGATAGAAGAGATTAAAATATCTGTCCAAGTGAGACTTGTAATCTCTACTCCTTTCATCAAACTGATCAGCCCCAAAAGAGGAGACACAAGGCCTTATACCTGCAGCTCCAAATCCAGTAAGATAAAGAAATCCATAGAGGTACATCATCTGCCATGGTTTTGCTGGCTCACAATTGCCTAAAAGAAGGGACAGCTGACCACATTGGTCTTGGTTTGGAACAAATGTGCTCATTGTTGCACACAAGGTTATTCCTGTTAGACCCTTCAGAAAAGGAGAAAAAAATAGTGCAATTCTCATTAGAAGGCTTCTTGAACAATTTAAACTATAAGAAATAAACATGTAAAACATTTAATGAAGAACATACACAGCTTACAGACTTGAAAGGAAAATTCAAGCACTTAAAAAAAAGATTAGAAATATAAAGCAGTAATTCAAGAAGATGAAAACAAAAAAGTAGAAATGTTCTATGAATAAATCAACATACAAAGTTGGTGCCTGTTAAAAAACTTGACTTCTGTTTTCATCAGTAGAACTTGTCAAAAATTTCAATACGTGATAGATGCCAATAGAAAACTAGCTCATGTATGTGGTTATATGAAACTAAAAATACAGTCTTCTTTGGAGGAAGGGAGACCAGAAATTTGATATCTTGGTTCTCTTTTTGATAAAACCTAGTGACTTAGTGAGTCCCTTTTCTCTAAGCCTAATTTTATAATATGTAGAGACATTAAATAGTCCTTGTACTGCTACAAGTATGATCGTACCTAGTTTATTTCAGACAACTTAGTAAGGAAAATATTTTTGAATTGAACCTCACATTACCATAGACTGTGTAGGAAGGAGATCTATTAGGTAAAGTTCCAGCTTAAGTAGATATTATCCCTATTCTTTCACTATGGATCAGTAGAATAGAAATGTCCATAGATTTTATGTTATGATATTATCAGTGGTATCTAAAGTATATATTGGTAGTCCAACTGTGCAAGGGCAGCCAAATGCCTTCATAAATCATAATATTTACACAGTTTTAGGATTTATTGTTTCTATGGTGTCCCCTCCTCCCCCCATTAGAATCAATTTGAAGTGTCCATAAAATCCATTTTTCTTGGTTATATATTGATACTTTCTAATATGGAAATCTCACCGCAAGATAGATGGTAGTGAAAATTGCTATTGTCCAATATCGACCAAGATATGCGTCAGCAAGAAATCCACCAAGCACAGATGAAGCCTGTGATATTCCTAGGAAATTATTAACAGCATTTGCTGAACTGGAAAAGGGCCGATGCATGACATAAAACATAAATGCCACCATGTTAACTGAAAGTCCAAAATAAGCCATTCTCTCTGCCATTTCATTTCCTGTACAAATAGATCAATGAGCACAAAATTCATCAACACATCATCAGGTTTACAGACACACACAAAATAGATGATTGCAATTGACCAGCCTCCATGGATTCTCTTTTTTAGTCTTTATTACTTATCATCCAAAACAGGGAGGGTGCTCTGGTATGCTAGAAAGGAAGAAACAAAACAAGTGCAACAACAGGAAACAATTTGCATACCAAAAATAAAAAAGGCAGCAATCCAACCCCCAGTCTTTGATAGATCAGTAATCGGCTTCCCACGGATATTGACAGGAGTAGTTCCTCCTACATAGCCACCTCCCATGGCTGTTCGCCTATCATCACTCTCAATGAAATACATTCCAAGCTTCTTCCTGTGAAATGAGTCGGAGATCCCACCCAATCTTGCTGGTGTCTCTGGAAAATCTCCAGGCGATTTGATTTCCATAGACTCCATCCCTGGCAAGCGACATCCAAAATGTATTAATTAAGAAAAAGAGGCACAAAATCAGGCACACAAAGTTCCCCTTACTTGAAAAGAAATTCTTAAACCCACAAAACTAATTAAATGTGTTTGCGATAGAGCCCAAAACATGAGGTTTACATTCTTGATGGATACTTCAATATATGGAATGGCATTCTTAATGCACTGGGCATAGAATTTCCATTTCATGGCATGAGAAAAAGAAAAACAACTGATCACGTGTGATCATCCCATAGTTCTCTGATATGCCAAAAGCATTTTCAAACTACAAAACACAAACTAAAAAATCGAACCAAAGTCTCCACACTTACACAAATCATACTAAGTATCAAGTAAACAGATAAGAATTTCCTGAACATTAAACAATAATCCCCCATCACCATAGTCATAGAAATCCAATGGCAACTCTCCTTACCTTTGATAAAGCCCCTGTTTTGGTCGAAAACACAGAAACCCTTCTCGGAGTAGCTGTAAAAAGAAGCACGTACTCTAGAGCCAAATTAATTTACGGAGGATACAAGTGATGAGAGGTTTCCCACTTCCACCATTTATCCTTGAGGGCGATCGAAGTATTTGAAGAGCAGTAAAGGAGTAGTAGCCAACACCCAACACGTGAAACACCAAGGTCCAAAGCCCAAACAACAAGACCAATGACGACCAATCACATTAAATGAAAGAGAGGCCCTGATAGAGTCGCCATTAATGCGTAGCAGTAGTGGAGGTTGCACACAAACTTACCACCATGAATTGAAGGAATCTATCGTATCTCTTGTCTTGATCGAGCACGGGCTGAAGTCCTCGCTCTCGCTACAAAGAACCAGAGGAGCATATATATATTATAAGCTGTAAAGGTTGAGTTGACTTTCACTCCTTTTCAAACTGGGGGGGAACTGACTCTTTTCACGGTGGACTGAACTCTAAATTTCTCAGACTTGCCGGTCGGTCACGTCACGCCCATGCAATGCAGCAAAGTAGTGTTTGGAGTGATTATGGGCATATAAGGTGACATGGGGTGTTGTATATTATTGGCCAAACAGCTCCTAACACAGCCATCGTCAAGTGCAAGTGCAATTAATCCGGACTCATTTCGGGGGGCAAGGCCAAATGGCCAAAGGCCGTTATTGGCGACAGCACGAGTCTTCGTTACTTGTTTTGTAGTCGTTCGTACGTACAGCCAGGTGCAAACTTCTCGTTATCATTTATTTTTCTTTTGTTTGGCCCATTCCCAATCCAATGTTGCATTATATTACCAAAAAAAAAAAAAAAGAAATTTCCAATTTAATACACTACAGCTTACCATTCATCCAATATTAATGATTTCAGCCAATAGTCACAATTCACAAATCGAGTAGAGTACATCCTTGGTGTCAATAATCTCCCATGGTCCCACCCCACAGTTTACTCGTTACAACTTACAATTTCTTTGCCACCTGGCAATATACTCTTACTCTCAAGGCTGATTTGCAACATTTACGCCACACGGAAAGTTGGTTGATTGAGCTAACGCTAGGTAGTAGAAGGGAAGGTTGCACGCTTTAATCATTAATGTTTATTAATCTTTTGTCTAATTAATTGCAGGAGAGGAGGCTCCATCTTCAAATTAAGTTGGAAAAGTTCAAGCTGTAAGGGTTCAGTACTAGATGAAGATTCCTTTGCCTGCTTGAATTGAACATTCACTAATCGAACGATTCAATCCCAACTTCCCTGCCACTTGGGAAATCTTTTTCGGTTGTTTCGCTACCAACATTGGTGATGGAGCCTTTATAGCAATTACTGCTGCTTTGTTATTTTCGAAATTCAAACCAAGACAAATGTTGCCAAAAGAGCTTTTTTTTCTTGCCAGCTGTCCACCGTCCTAACTTGTTCCTGCAACCAGAATTGTGTTGCAGCCTGAATAATGCTCCATTGATGTCACCTACGCTTCACCTGCGCCTAATAATGCTATCTCAAATATATATCTGTATTCATTCGTTTAAGATAATCTCCATCATAATAAAATTTAGGCTGCGCTTGGAAACAATGTAAATGCAGTGTAAATCTCGGTTCAGAGTAAATCTGCACTCTAATTCAGTTTTAGCAACATTACGTTTATGCATTGACAAATGATAGACCAATGCATATTTACATTGATAATAAAATATAAAAGTACATCAATAAAAAAGAAGTAAATTTGTATTCAAGTGAACTTTTGATAAAAAAACATATACTTTATTGGAATTCATGTTTGCATCCATTACAACTAAAAGTCTGTTTGGTAAGAAGGTAAATTTGTAAGTGCAAAACTAACCCACACATTTGCATTGTTTACAAACGCAGCCTTAGGGTAAATTGCTAAAGCTTCTTCTGAAGTTTTTGACCATTGCTGAAACCTTCAATTTTTAATTGCAATTATTCCTCATAAATTTTCTAATACAGTTGCAAGTGGACCCCCTTTGGTAGAATCTTCTAAAAAAGGAATAAAACTGTTCAAAATACCCATACAATTATTTAAGCTGGTTTCTGTGAAAAAAAAAGCAATACAAACTTTATGAAGAATAAAAATAAAGAAAAATTAAAATTACAACTTTATGTTTGAGTTATTGATATGAAGGGTACATTTGAAAATGAATCAATTTTAGAAAATAGATTGGAAGGGTTTGGGGTAGTGATTAATATGGAAAGAAAATTTGGAAAATAAACATTTTTGTTAAAGTAATTGCATGGCTGTTCTGAACATTTTTCATGCCTTTTTTTAGAACATTCTACCAAAGGGGATCTACTTGCAATTACATCAAAAAGTTCAGGAGAGGTGATTGCAATTATAGGGATGCAAATTGTTTGGATCAGATTCGAATCCGATTCGACACTGTTCATGTCGGATTTGATCTAATCCGATCCGAAGATCCGATCGGATCTAATAGGACTCGATTTGTATTCGAATCCTAATAGATCTTTGGATTTGATTTGATTCAACTTGTTTTCTTTAAAAATTAATGCATTATTAAAAGAAAAAAATACCAATTAAATAAAGAAAAAAACAAAAAGTACAAATATTTTTAATTATTTTCATCGTATTTATATATGCTTTTAATAAAAAATAAATAATATAACAAATTTATAAAAATACAATATAAATAATATATTTATAAATAAATAAGTAATATATATATATATATATATTATATTTATATTTATAAAGGGGTGATCAGAATCCAAATCCGATTTTGACCAAATAGGATCGGATCGTACATTTGCACCTCTATGCAATTATTAAACTTCAGAGGGAAGATTTCAGCAAAAACTATAAACTTAAAAGTAGGTTTCAGCAATTTACCTTAAAAACTACATAATTGAACAAAACTAGAAAGGTAACGACCAGGCCGGCAATTAAAGGAAAAAGGTTAAAGAAAGTTGGTTGAAGAAGATCGGAACTGATGATGACCAGATTTGGTAAAGGTGATTTTTTAGTTGGGACAAATATGGTACAGATAGAGTAGGTGCAGAGATTTAAGATGCCAGACGAATGTGTCAATGGTCAAAAGGCCAAACCATTAACGACCTCTTGTTTGAACAACTTATATAACTGAACACAAAAGCAAAATATCAAAATCAAAATCACTTTTATCGTGCGTCGTCGTGTGGTTGGGTTGGGTTGTCACCGTTAGAATCACAGGTTTGATGAAAATGAAAACAGTTACATTCACATGGAGGAAGATGCAGTGCAAGTGGATGGGGAAATGACTAAATGAGGAATTAATGTGATACGAGGTTGGATATGCCAACCCCCAAGCCTCCTTAGTACATTTTTTCTTTAAATGGGTTCGTTCTGGCCCTAGGCCTAGCTTACATTAAACTACTTTCATATTTGAGCTAAGAAACAAAATGCTATTAGATTTATATGGAATTCATACTATTTGGTCCCTTTTTAGAGAAGGAGACCTAAACAGTAGCCACATGTCATAAAAGAGAAAGCCTTTCTCTTAATTTACTCAATAATATGGGTGTTAATGGTATTTGAAAATTCGATTTTGAATTTGAGATTCGATATAATCGAATTAAATTCGTATAATTTGAATATTTAATTGATCGAATTCAGATATCCTATTCATATCGAATAGTTAAACGGATTCAAATTCGGATATGGCCCGATTTGATTCGATAAATATCTAAATTCGACCAATTATTTAATTCTTATATATAATATATTAAATATTTTATATAATTTATATATATAATTAAATTATATAACTAACTTATATATTTATTTACTTTAAATAAATAAAATATTTATTAATAAGCTAAAATAATTAATTGGTCAAATTCAAATTGAATCAAATATTTGGATATTTAATCAAATTTGAATTTGAATTCAAATATTAATTTTCAATATCCGTCAGATATCGAATTGAATTTAGATACCGGATTTTCTGATCAGGTTCAAAATCGGATATTGTTTGATTCGATTCGAATTCAATCCATTTACACCCCTACTCAAAAAACTTTAACTTCTTTCAGTATAAACTACAAACAGAAGATGGCAATTGATTGGGAGTGAACACTGGCCAAACACAATTGGGTTGAGATAGGATAGGCCCACTCACTTTAGGTAATTGTTAGGAAGGGTTTTTACGCAATGGCTTTTGGCTTTATAAGGTGGGCTGACATGAAAAGCCTGGAATTTATGTTTGATGAAAAACCTAAAAAGATAGAATGGTAAAGCTAATTTGGCAAAACAAAATACAAAATTGACAAGCCCCACCATGCCTAATCCTCTAGTTTAATGAACAATGTATTAACTTTGAGTAATCATCTTTTAAGTAAATGGAACCCTTTTGTTTTAAAGATTGATGGAATACATCATCAATAATAATGTTAGCTTCATGGGGCTACACAAAGGGGTAGGGTAGCCCATCCAACCCTTGGAAAACGTAAGTACGTATGGGGGATCGGGCCTCACCCGTGGAGATAGGATAAGGCTGGGGTTGATGATGCGATAAAAACAGGGAAAAGTACTCTACAGTTCATTGCAGAATTATGAATTATAGCTCTTCATAGTCTATTAGTAGCCTTCCTTCTATAAACTATATCCTGCCCGTGGATTTGGCATCAATCCATGGTCAGAATTCATCCTCTGTAGCTTGGGGCTAAAGAATTCTGAACTGAGCTGATCAGTCATTCTCACAAAAAAGGGAAAAGTATTAGTAATTATTCCCCAAACTTTAAAATGCGCAATCCAGTATTCAAACTTTCAAATACCACAATTTAGTAACTGCCTATTAATGCGAAAAGCAACAAATACCCTTCAAGTGTTATCTAATTTTCTTTATCAATCATATACTAAAATCAGAACCAACCATCAACTACAAACTTTTGAACTTTGATATGGATTTGGATAGAGGAAACACACTGCTCTGTAATAACCAAACGGAAAAGCTTCTCTTTCTGGATCTTGTCTATGGGTTACAGCTAAAGAACATACTTCTTCCGTAAGACAGAAATGAGAAAGTAAGACTTTTCTCTTGTTATGGCTTGGATCACAACAAAACCCTGAATCAAGAACAGAGAAAACACATTAATCTCCAAAACCCAGATGGGTAAAGACAGCTTTGTTCGGGTTTTTGGAGGATAAGACCCTCGAGTGGTCTCTGAACATGAGAGGTGATTAAGTGGCAGAGAAGTGAGAAAAGAAAAGAATTTAACGCTAAAAGCTAAGGAGAAGATGTTTAAGTAACCTGAAACTTGGTAAGGCGTTTGCAGTTTGCACAGTAGCTAGGCTGAAGAAGTAAAAACTAGAAGGAAGATGATATTAGTGGCGATTGTGGCGGAGCTGCTTGAGCAGTACACGGTGTTGCTGGTTAGGGTATTACACCAAATGCTTCACGCACCCCCTTTCCACTCCTCACCTCACATCTCTTGGGCTTTACTACTTATTTTCTTTTTTTTTTTTTGGATTCTTACTCCATCTCCCCACCACCATCTCAACTGCGTATGGAGGGGGTGGTCTATTTTCATTTCTCGTTACTGTAATTTGTTTTTTGCGATCTAAATGATGCATACATAATAGAAAATTTTCAATCTCAATATTTCTTTTATTCGCCACTCTTTATGATTTTAATCCCTCTCCCTCTCGTTTTCTCATACTTTAAATAAAAAAAGAAAAATGAAGCCCATTATATATTCTAATCCAATGGGATACCTTAATTGTAACTGTGTAGTCACGATAAAAGGTGTGGAAATGGTCAAGTAGATTTGCGACAGAAAACAGCCACCTCGGCTTCGAGTCTTAGTGTCCGGAATTGCTCCAAATCATTTTGGACAAGTGGTTTTGATCAGAAATCGCACCAGGGTGACGGGATCTGCTCCTTACAGATGGGCGCCTCACAGGCACATCCATCATGTATTGGGAACATCTCCCGTGAATAATAATCAATAATTACGAGAGATGTTTCCAATGTATGGTAGGATGTGCGTGTGAGGCGCCAGGTGTGTGAGGAGTAGATCCGGTCTCCGCACCATGTGAGTTGATTTTACCTAAATTCAAGAGCTTAAAAACAATAACATTCGGGAACTTAAAAACAAGAATGATATGGAGCAATTTCAACCATCCAATGAGTGGGCCTGTCAGAAAAGATCGTGTTTGTGGCGTTTGTGATAGAGAGCTTGGGCTTTGTTTCATCTTCTTGAGGAAGAAGATGATGAACAATGTGTTTTATTTTCAAGGGTAATTTTGACATTTCCAAAACTCTTAAATAACGATCCATTAACGATAGGTACTAGATTGTCGCATTTCAAAAGTTCGGGTACTGGGTTGTCTCAAGACCAAATTGTCACTTGAACCAAAGTATAGGGTACTTATTAGGAATTTTCCCCATAAGGTTTTACAAATTGATCTAGAGATGGAACCACTCTCGCAACTGATTTGGTTTGACCATTCAGTTCAAATGTTAGCCTGTAATATTTTTAAAATTAAAAAAATAGATAGAAAATAAGAAAAATAAAAATTGACTTGAATAGCTTGTTGACCGATTCAATGATTTTTTAGAAAATCTGGATTAGGTAAAAAAAAAAACGGAATGGGTATATATTATGACCAGTTCCTACGCGGAATGGTTTGTATGCTTGGGTGATCGATGATTTTAAAACCATTGCACCATATACCATTGTTGTCTGGTCCATGGACACCGGTCCGGTGGTCCCCGTTTTCAGTTGTCGGTTCATGATTTTTATTTGAAGAAGAAATGTTGGTAAACAAGTTTACCAAACAATAACGTTTTTAGCCTCAAGATACATGGGTCAATAAAAATCTATCTATCTACCTTTTTTTATTTTTTGAAGACAAGAATCATATTTCATTCAAAATAAGAAACTTGTATGAATACAGGTTAGTAATCACAGTACCAAGCAAAAAGCGTAGACACAAATCCTTAGAAAGAACAAAATATAGATTGTGGATAAAGGAGAACATAAAAGAACTTTTGCAACTGACATAAGGTGAGGCAGAATCACCAACAGAAAAAACAATTGAGCGCATCTCCAACCACCGTAAGTAAGGAATAAAGACAGTAGTGACTCGCACCAAGAAACTGGAGCCACCTAGAACTATAACCGCTAGAACTGTATTTGTCAGAACTATAACCATCTAGAACTGTAACCGTCGGAACTGTAATCATCTGGAACTATAACCGCCGATGAAAGCAACTGGTAGTGAAATACATTATGGAATTGTAACCGTTGGTGAAATACACTCCGGAAAACAACCACTGACAGTGAAAGCCAAAGAAGCATTTAAGGCCACCGCCCAACACCAAAATCTTCAAGGAAGAGTCAACCTCTTGTATCAAAATCCCTGCATAAAAAGAATAGAAAGAAAAAAACAAAAGATAAAAAGGACAAGAATGAGCAAGAGGAAAGATCGAGAAGTGGAATAAGAAAATCAAAAAGAAGAGAGAGGAGTGAAGGAAAGGGAGAAGCGAAGAAGAATGGACAAGAGAGGGGGAGAGGGAGAAGAAAAGAAAGGGGATAGGGGTAACTCCCCGAGGGGAGTCACCCCAAAAACGATCAAAGACCGAAGAAGGGCGACAGAGGGTGGACAAAGAGAAGTAATTAAGGAAACCCTAAGATGAGTACTCTCTTAGAACAGAAAGAGAGGAAAACTCTAAAACTCAGAGAAAAACTCTCGTAACCGAGAGAGAGAAACTCCTACTTTGATAAGGTTGATGCATCTATCTATTTATCTATATATGTGTGTGTTGACATTGTTTATAGTGTATGGTATGCATCCTTTTATAAGATAAGTTCCATAGCTATGGCGAAAAATTCAAAGAGTAAAGACTAACATTGTTCACTTGTTTACTAAAAGCATAAGCATTCCTTGTCAGTTTCCTCTTCATTTGGAGGATATTTTCCTTTTATATACTCACTATCTGTAGGTTCACCGATCACCGCTTACAATTAAAATGTATTTGTAGTAGCCCTAGCATTTCTTGACTACTACCATGTGTTTTGTCCTACTAAGTAAATGTATACATGCATTGTACGTGATAATTTCAAATAATAATAATAGTTATTATTAATATTAATAATTATTATATATTATATTATAGATATTTTTATTTGGGCCCGAAGGAGCACATGACCGCAGTAGAATGAACATGGCGAGATGACAACTAATCTCAGATTCCCTCAAAATTTGGTTTGACGATTTCACCCTTCCATCTTTTGAATTATCAAACAAAACAAGAAATGCGGTCGAGATTCAATGGTGGAAGTGGACCCCACTCTATCCCTTCTCCGCTTATGTAGTTGCCTAAAAGGCCCGAAACATGAGGAGAGGAGTGAAGACTGAAGAGTGTCGTAATTGATACCTCATACCGGGAAACAGGGTCCTATAGTCTATGTTACCACGTGTCTATCTATATTGGTGTCTCACGCTTGAACAAAGGAACCATGGATTGGATTTATGAGATGTTTCAACTTTCAATTCATGTCACGCTGATTTTGGATACCGAATCCAATAAATCCACGTGACAGGACCCTGCTCCTGAATTGATACACGTGGCAAATTAGTTTATGTGGGCCCAAACTGATGCTGGCTAGGCTTGCTGTTACTTTTGGTCTGGTTATTAGGCTATTTCGGTAAATTACTCAACGAACAATACTATAAAAATAAAAAAACAATAGAATCCTCAAGTTGGATTAATGTGGTTTTGACGATCCCTTGTACCGCCCATCGGTTATTAATCCTCTCTTCCACGTCACTGCATGACACATGCAGAATTTCCTCCCGCCTTTTCAGCTCTTATTAGTTGTTTACAACCTTTCACGGGCCACAACAGAATCTCTCTTCTCTCTCTCTCACACACATACACAATACACACACGACAGAAAACCGATGGCCGGTGCGCGCACTACACACTTGGCATCTCCTCGTTTAAATACACAACACAACTCCATGCTCCATAGCAAAAGTAAAACCCCATCAGTCCAGTCCAGGCTCCAGCCAGACGATCTTCTCTCTCTGGCTCTGTTTGCATCCTTGCAGGAGATCTCGAATGCTGTTCGTGTTTTAATCTGAAGCCGTCATAACTAGGTCTGTTATTTATTTATTTATTCTATCTGATTTTTCTTGGATTTTTTTGTCTCCTCGTTGAAGATTCTGTTCTTTTCTAACTGCATTGGATTGTTGGATTATAGCTTTTCTTGTCGAATTTCTGGTTTCTATTGGATTGAACGAGATCTGACTTTGAATTGATAATACTGTTACTCTTTCCTTGTCCATCCGCATTAGGGTTTCCTCTACCGCCGAACAATATAGCAATGACATGTTTCCATCTTATCCATTCCTTACTCGAATTCCTGATGTTGTTTTCTTTTTCCCACCTTACATCTAAATGACCTGATTTCCTTTTTCAGATTTCACAATGTCTGCGATGGATTTGAAGGAGAACAAGTTCCTGAGCGTGGGTCTCTTGGTTGTTGCAACCCTCCTTGTCGCAAAGCTATTGTCTGCATTTCTTATGCCGAAATCCCGAAAGCGCCTTCCTCCGACTATAAAGACGTGGCCGGTGCTCGGCGGCCTTCTTCGCTTTCTGAAAGGCCCCATCGTGATGCTTAGGGAAGAGTACCCCAAGCTCGGCAGCGTGTTTACTCTCAATCTATTGAACAAGAAGATCACTTTCTTCATTGGACCCGAGGTGTCGACCCATTTCTTCAAAGCTTCCGAGTCTGATCTCAGCCAGCAAGAGGTGTACAAGTTTAATGTTCCCACTTTTGGTCCCGGAGTGGTGTTTGACGTCGACTACTCTGTAAGGCAAGAGCAATTCCGGTTCTTTACCGAAGCTCTCAGGGTTACCAAATTGAAGGGCTATGTAGATCAGATGGTTGTAGAAACTGAGGTGAATCAACTTTCCATGTTTGCTTTGTACTGTTTTTTCAATGAACCTTCTTATTTAGACTTAGGCAACTATTTTTTATTGCTACCTGCATTCACAATTTCATATGTAATTTAGTTGAACACAGAACACCTATCTCTTTAGACCTGATGTCTGCTTAGTGCTTACTACTGATTAGCTTCAAAGAAGATAATGGACTTCGGTTATTTGCCTTTCGTTCCCTGACCCAACATTGGAGATAATTTGAATAAAATCTAGAATATATAGGGAAGTCCATTTTCAGTATCGAACTAAATCCTGTTCTTCCTCCCTTTTCCATGGATGATTGTTCTTTGCAAGCAGCACTTTGATTTAGAGTTTGCATATACGTTCTTTCTGTTTAAGCGAAAGCTAGCAGTCTTGTGATCCTATTCTATCTCGGTGCTGTTGTAAATGGAACTAAAGCATATACATATATATATAGATATATAGATATATAGATGATTAATGAAGCCTGATCAATTTACAAATTGGCATCTGAAATGTTGATTGACATATGTTTAACATTACAGAAAGAGCTTGTACCAGGGGAAAATGGTAAAATATAGCTGATTTGCTCCTCTTATTATTAAATCTTAATCTTGGTTTTATTCATGTGTCTGATTCGTCAATTTTCTGCAAATTGTTTTCCTGATAGTTTGTTTATAGCTTTTCTTTTTATCTCCTTGAGTCTCATCATTCTTTGGGAAAGGAATAAGCCGTCTTTATGGTTTGAAGATGAAGGATCCACAGTCATCATTTGCCACTCATATGGCATAAAAGGTGATTTAATTGCCACTTTTAGCTATACTTCGGATGGCTAGCATTGCTGATCACTCTTTTAAACATTTACCCTAGACAAATTTTGTTAGGGATGATGAGAGAAATTTTGTATGACTGTCATTTATATAACTTAAGCCACCAATTCCAAGTTCCATGTGAATATTTGATTCCTAAGTTCTTGCATCTGTGTGTAATACTCCCTTGAATGATTTGTCCCAGACATTGCTCCAATGTTGTTATAAAATCTAAGACTGTCAGATATCCACTGTGCTGATTCCATCTTTATCATGGAACTCTGCAGGACTTCTTCTCAAAGTGGGGTGAGAGCGGTGAGGTTGACCTAAAAGCTGAGCTTGAACATTTAATTATCTTGACAGCAAGTAGATGCCTCTTGGGCCGGGAGGTTCGTGATCAGTTATTTGCCGATGTATCATCCCTTTTCCATGACCTTGACAATGGCATGCAACCTATCAGTGTCATCTTCCCATACCTCCCCATCCCAGCCCACCATCGCCGTGATGAGGCCCGCAAGAAGCTTGCAAATATCTTTGCCAAAATCATATATTCCCGTAAACATTCTGGGAAAACAGAAAATGACATGTTGCAGTGCTTCATTGACTCGAAGTACAAAGATGGACGGCCAACTACTGATGGCGAGATCACTGGGTTGCTCATTGCTGCCCTATTTGCTGGACAGCACACCAGTTCCATTACCTCTACCTGGACTGGTGCCTATCTCCTTACTCACCAGAAGTACCTCTCTGCTGTTTTGGATGAGCAAAAGAACCTCATGAAACAGCATGGCGACAATGTTGATCATGATATACTGTCTGAGATGGATGTCCTATATCGGTCCATCAAGGAAGCTCTGAGGCTCCATCCTCCTTTGATAATGCTGCTAAGGAGCTCCCACACTGAGTTCAGTGTGACAACTAGGGAGGGGAAACAGTATGACATCCCAGAAGGTCATATAGTTGCTACATCACCAGCTTTTGCCAACCGATTGCCACATATATACAAGGATCCAGACAGGTATGACCCGGACAGGTTTGCCGCCGGGAGGGAAGAGGACAAGGCGACTGGAGCATTTTCGTACATTTCATTTGGTGGTGGTAGGCATGGTTGTCTTGGAGAGCCATTCGCGTATCTGCAGATAAAAGCAATTTGGAGCCATTTGCTAAGAAATTTTGAGATGGAGTTGATATCACCTTTTCCAGAGACTGACTGGAATGCCATGGTTGTGGGTGTGAAGGGAAAGGTAATGGTAAGGTACAAGCGACGACGGCTTTCTGTTGACTAATTTAGGATGACAAATTGTGAAAGGTGTAGCTCTTCTTTTCCTTGTTTTAACTTTGGTGATCAGTTGTTGATTTCTTGCAAGTTACCCTCCCATTTTGAATCCCTTGATTATCATCTATTTTTGGGTCTCTTTCAAGTGTCACTTTTCTAGTTTTCATTCATATGTTTTTAATGCTTGTAGTTTGGAATGGATATCTGATTTTGTTTTTGTGTGTGTTAATAATTAGTAGGAATAAAGGCTTTTGTGATTTCTGCAGGAGGCCTTTTTATATACAAAATTATACTGTCAACCATTTGGTAAACTACTGGTCCAGCCAGCGCGTAACAGGTCACACACAGGCTAGGATTTTGTGTTTAACACGGCGGCCTTGTAGATAAAAGATGCCAACTCTACAAGCTGTGGTTGGGACTTGGGAATGAGCCCAGCTAAGAATCACAAAAGACAAATCTATCTATAGCTCTTCTAAACCATAAGTATCTATCAAGGGAAACCTTGTGTTGTGATGTGGTGGAAGGCTCGCTAGAGCTGCTACTGCTAATATCGTGCTATCTCATAGTACTAGCTATCTTAAGAAATCAATGGAAGGTGGCCACTACACTAACCACTATACACTGATGGAGTTGCAAGCTAAAGAGGGTTTTCTTTTTAGGGTTCATCAAGTGTTTATCGATTAGCCCCTTCAGAGTCTGGATGAGGCTTGAGAAATGTTTATACCTTATACCATTCAGCCTATGAAAGACCAATGAAAAAAGGTCCGGATGGTTTATAGTAATTTCAAAAGGCCCAAAAGCATTTATAAAATTTGCTGATCATATTAATTTCGTGGTCCGGTTCTGTGCTGTTTGGAGAAGATCTCAAACCAATAAATTATAGTTTGAGAAATTTTCAGATCAAATTAAACAGTTTTGACATGAAAATCAAATCAGGCCAAATTGTTTTGTTACTATGATTTGGACCAATATATACTATTTTGATTTATGGTTTGATTTGGTTTATAAAATCCAGTAAATCAAACCAAGATTATAAACCGTAATTCAAGAAAATGTCACACCAAACCATTTTGAACCAAATCAAATCACAAATTCGATTTGAATTGATTCAATTTTATGGTTTGGGCGTATAATGAACAGCCCTAGGCTCAAGTACAAATATTGCATCCGTAATTATTCTAACAAAATAAATAAATACATCAACAATTAGGACACCTCATGAAGACCTTTTTTGTGTTTTTCCTTTCTTTTTGGGTGAACTCCAGACACCCCCTTTCCCCCTAAAATATGACTTTTCCCCGTTCTTCCTTCTACAACAATCCAGCAATTTTGTCCCTGAAGATAACAGGGCCAAAGAGGGAAGTTAAGATCATCAGCCAATAAAAGTCATTCCAACACCCTATCAATAATATCTGGCATCACACATTTCATCTTTAAATCGGAAGTTGGAACCCATCATAAAAGTTGGACTTGTCATGTATGAGATCACAGGAGATTACATCTGAGCCCCGCAGAGGGTGTCCCACAAATGCTTCACATTCACATAGAAGTTGTCAATGGGAGATGTTTGTAATAGTATGCTGTAAGGTGTTGTAGGGCGCTCTGAGTTCGACTTCAGTCCAGCACCCTCAGTAGGGGCACCGTTCGCGCAATTGGAAGACGTGATACGCGTCCTCTAATTGATGTAAACAGTTGAAGCATGCGAGGATGCTTCACGCTGTTAGTGACTCGTTCTCTTCTCCCTCTCTCCCCCAATCCACCCGGCGGCGACTTAACATCCATTACCGCCGGTGGATGAGGGGAGAGAGAGGGAGAAGCAAGACCGCCACTCGTCTACTCCCCGCAGATCCAATGGATTCTTTGTGCTGGTCACTGGGGTTGCTGGCTTCGTGGGTACCCACTGCTCACTGGCTTTGAAGAAGCGAGGCGATGGAGTTCTTGGCCTCGATAACTTCAAATAGTTGACGAAGATGAGCTCTCCCCGATCGAACAAGTGCGGTTAACGGTGACCAACACCGACGATCCAACCCTCCCCGTCTGGACCTTCCGGATGTGGTTCCTGGGTTTGATATCATGTGCACTGCTGTCATTCCTCAACCAATTCTTCGCCTACCAAACGGAGCCCCTCATCATAACCCAGATCACCGTTCAGGTGGTTACCCTGCCAATCGACCGCTTCATGGCTTCTGTCCTACCGCGCACCAAATTCCGCTTACCAGGTTTTGGGTCAACGGAATTCTCTTTGAATCCGGGACCATTTAACATGAAGGAACATGTTCTCATCTTCATATTCGCTAATGCCGGGAGCGCTTTTGGAAGTGGATACGCCTATGCCGTCGGCATCGTCAACATTATAAAGGCTTTCTACCGGAAAAACATCTCCTTCTTAGCTGGATGGATACTTGTAATAACCACTCAGGTCTGTGATTTCGGTGTTTCTTTTTCTCTTCCTCTTTCACTTCTGGTTGTTCTTCTATTATTTTATTTTATCAGGTTTTGGTAACAGCTAATACGTGCACCGGTGATGACTGTTTGTACTCTTTCCGCCGGTGATAACAGTCCGGCTTCTATCAGGGCAGAGTCTAAAATACCTGAAAGAGTCGCCGGTGATGACTGTTGGTCGCCGCCGGTTGGAAAGGGAGAGGGTGAGAGTGACTAGTGAGGGCAGAGTCCGATGAATCTCGAGCGGGAAGTGGGATGGAATGAATGAGAAGCTAACGGCATAAAGGATAAAGTCCGTTAATTCAGTTCGCACGTATTAAACCAACGCACGAATTAACTCGTGCCGCGCGAACGGTGCGCGTATATAGTGTGCCTGGACTCAAGCCGAACTCTTCAAGGTCGTAGCAAAATATGAAAATAAACAAAAACACACAAAAACTTGTGATAATTCAACCTAGTAGCAAAAGACAAAAATTAAAAGAAAAACATAAAAAAATTGGAATATTGCGGGTTTGAATCTGCTACCCACCGATTTCGCCCCAAAAACGTCCCACACCATAAAAAACGCCGCGTGTCCTCCCACACGCAAGCGCCTCAACCTCGTGCGGAGCTGATGGGACGGCCGTTAGCTCCCATTTCAGTGATTTCGCCCAAAAAAGTGAATTTCACTCCTATCGACCTGCCCTCTGAAACTCAGACCGCCCCATCTCCTCCTTCGCCGGATCTTGCCAAGAAATCCGACGCCACGATCATTCCTATAGATACACCAGAACTCTCCCCTCTCATCTCAGATATATATGTTTTTTTTAGTTTTTTATCTTTTTTGCAATAGAAAAAACGCAAAAAGGAAGAATCGCCGATAGGTATTCTCGAATCTGTTCTCTCTTCCTCCTGCAATACTCCACTCTAAATTCACTGATTTGAGTTTAACCATGGAATGTCTCCAGCTGGGCTGATACGCAGTGCAAAGAGCAAAATCCATGGTTATTTGAAGAATGAATATGGCGTTAATTAAAACCATAAAAATTGTGTGGGCCAGACAGAGCACAATCGTTTCCGTGATCAGAGGGTTGGCGCTGAAGACCTCATAAACAAGTGATGTGTTTCTGTGCTTTAAAGGGAAATCAAGCAGTTGGTTTGTCGAACTAAGAGTCTCATAATCAAGACAAAGAGCTTTCTGGGGATGACATAAAAAGACATTGTTGTCGTTGTTTCAAGCCTTTGAGTCCTAACCAGAGCCAGCACCTGAATCTTCTTCCCTTCTGCGTTTTTTTTATTGCAAAAAAAGGTTAAAAAAACTGAGAAAAACATATTCAAGAATATCTGAGATGAGAGGGACGGGGAGTATATACCCCCGGTGTATCTACCGGAATAATCATCGGCGTTGGATTTCTTGACAAGATCCGGCGGGGGAGGAGATGCCGTGGTCTGGGTTTCAGAGGGCAGGTCGATAGGAGGAGTGAGAGACTGAGATAAAGATTAAGATCGACTTTTTTGGGTGAAATGGTAGCTAACCGCCGTTTTATTAGCTCCGCACGAGACTGAGATGCATGCGTGTGGAAGGACACGCGGCAACTTTTAATGGTGTGGGACAACTATCGGGGCGCAAGTCGGTGGGGGGGCAGATTCGAACCCGAATATTGCACCTTCCACGGGAGACGGGATCCACTCTTACAAATGGGCGCTTCATATACACATCCACCAGAACATATAAGTACGGGAGATATTCACAATATATGGTAGGATATGCATGTGAGACGCCTTAAGGTGCCATCTGTGATGAGCAGATTCGGTCTCCCCACTGGTAGGATCTGCTACAAGCCTACAAAGTACAAACGCAACGCTCCCAACGATATGCCAATCTATCACTGCAGCCGCACACCGGGAACATCACAACTTGTTTCGCTTTTTGCTGGAAAAAAAAAAACCTTGTTTCGCTTTTCCCATCTCCTCCCCCTCCGGCCCTCCCTGCCCTCATCTCAAAAACCGAGTGTACGTTTTCGTGTGAAACTTTTGCAAATTTTCTTGTTTGTCATCCCTCGTTTGTCACTAGTGATTGCTGAAGTTCTGGGATTTGAAGAGAGATGATTTTGGGTTGGTGTTGTTATTGTTGATACTAAGTGTCGATGACGATTGGCACGGGCTCGGATTCCAACGGTTGGAGCCGAGCCCGGGGTCTGGTTATCAAGACGCTGGCAGTGATAGGTGGGGCGCTTCTACTTAAGAGACTAACCAAGTCCACCACCAGATGGGATCATGCCCGAATTGTTGCCGAATCCCTCAGCGGTGAGAAGGTAAACGACCCATAACCTGGGTTTGATTTTCTTTTCCTTTTTTGGATTCTTGGGATAGATTTAGTTCTTTTCTGGGTTTTTTCTTTGTAGTTTTCGCGGGAGCAAGCTTCTAGAGATCCCGATAATTATTTCAATTTGAGGTACCCAATGGTTCCGTTTCTCTCTCTTAGTTGAATTACAGATTTACTGCTGCATTTGGTTAATGAACTGAAGCTAACCAGTAGAACCTTCAATCTATTGGCTTCTTTTTAATTGCTTTTTTCTTCATTTAAGTCTTTAAATAAGTGCATGACCAAATGATACTCTGAGACATCGGCAATTGAACAGACACATAGTTGAGCTGTATATGTTGAAAGGCTACTCTTTTCATTAAGATTGCTTGGTTCAGTCTCCATGTTCCAAAGGAATTTAGCAACAACTCTTATTGCTGTTTGTTCCTGGGAATGAATTTCCTAAGGCTCAGTTTGGAAAGAGTACAAATACAAATATGTACAGCGCACACATACAAAATATAAAGTTTTGCACTCTACATATTTGTATTTGTACTCCTTCCAAACTGAGCCTAAAGTATAATTGCTCCACTTTTAGCCAAATTAATCCATTTGTACTAAATCCGTCTTCATTTTCTGTGCAGAATGCTTACATGCCCAGCAGCAGAGATGGTGGATGGTTCAAGGGTTCTGTATTTTGAACAAGTTAGTATAATTTGGTATCCTTTTGTTGCCACTTATGGCTTTAATACCTACATAAACATGTAATATTTAACCTATCTATTGCCTGATGGCAGGCATTTCAGAGGACTCCGCAGAAGCCCTTCAGGCAGGTAAATATGTTGCATATCATATCATCCTTTTATGGTACATTTTGAGTGTATAAATTACGTTCTTCAAGCTATGGGGTAAGTTTTTTTTAGCTCCTATTATTTTTCTGTCTTCGCATGCAGACTATTGTCTGCATCCATGCAAACATGTGATTTACACATTTCCCTCCAAACTTTACTATTTTCTCTAATAGCATTGCTTTTAGCAGAGGAAACCATAGGAAGAGTATAATTTATAAGGGTTTGGCAATGGATTATTTGTGCATGTCTCATTATTTATAAAGTATAAGTTACAGGAGCAAAAGATTTATGCCTTTTTGCTATCGTTTTACTGGTGTTACTAAGTGCTGATAAATAGTAACCACAATGATGCTTTTCTTTTTCATTTCTTTCTTTTTTTCATGTAGTAGAAATTCTAACATGTTCCTCGTTGCAGAGATTTTATATGGTGAAGCCTTGTCCAAAAGAGATGAGATGTGATGTAGAGGTGGGATTCAATTTTGCTTCATACTCCTTAAGAGAAACCTAGTTTTATTGGGTTGTATTTTCTCCTTACATTTGGAAACTTCCCTTCCCAGTTCCCTAGCCTCTGGACAGGCGCAACAATGCACTGTCAGATACACCTTTTATGAGTTAGCAATAGACTCTTTTGTGATCTGTATGCTATAGAAATCTAATATATATGGAGATGACAGAAATTTTATTTTTCTCATCAAGGTAGGGATTGTATTAGCATGTTTTCCAAAGCCAATTGACATTAACTCTTATCTTTTGTTGTGAAGAAACCGAGAGAACAAAAGGAAGATAGAAAAGGTGGAGAAAAAGAAAAGAAAATAAAATAAAGAATTTACTTTAGTAGAGAGTGAACAAGTTTTGCACTCTCCATTGAACCTATTTTATTTTATTTTTCTTTTTTTCTCTTGGTTTTCCTTGTCAGCCAACCTAAGGAAAGTAATTTCTTTTCCTTTCTTCTATTTTCTTTGCAACCAAATGCAGTATTAAGATTCCTAACTTATTTTAAATGGACAGCTAAATTCATATGCCATTAGAGATGCAGAGGAGTACAAAAACTTCTGTGATCGTCCAAAGGATCAGCGCCCACTGCCTGAAGAAGTTATTGGGGTAAGATTGTTGTGACCTTCAACCCATGATCTTGTCAAATTAGCCATGGTGTATTTGTGTAGGATGTATTGCAGGAATTGAAGGCCACTGTAATGTTTTGTTTGCATTAGCACTTTAAGATCTTGAGAAGATTTTAATATTCCAATTGCTAAAATCTCTTCCTGTGCTGATCCAATTAATAAACAAGAACAATTACTTGAGGATCCTTTCAATCTATTTAATTTGATGTATTGCTCCAACAGATATACAGATTAAGTGCTTATGGATCAGTAAAATGTTTTAGATTTTTGTTTCCGAAGAAAAAGAACTCTATTCATCTAAGGTTCTTTTTGGTACCTTTTCTTTCCTTTTATTAGGGAGAGATAAACAAACTCAATGAGCAAAATATGCCACACCTGTTACCACATCAAGTTCCTGCGTCATCAGTACTTTTTCTTTCTCTGGTTCTGTATATGTTTACTTGTGCTGTATGGTTTCTTTTGTTTTTGTTGTTTATGTCTTTGGCGTAGGTTGTGTATAAATGGCCTGAAATTCATTTTGATCCTATTTGTCCAGTTCATAATTTTATGTTTTCATTTTGCAATTGATGGGTCTTAAAAGAGTTTAGCTAGAACTGCTAAGACGATTCATTAACTTATTCATAATGTTAAAGATGCTTTCCTCTTCATTAGAAATCTGGTTAACTTCTAATAAACCATACTTGCCACCATTGTGTTTGTTTTACGCGCTTACTGTACCTACCTTGACATTGAGTATATACCTTCTACTTCTTCCAGTTTCTGCTGGGGTCCAACTGGCATGTTGGCTTATGCAGTGCAATTCTACATTAAACTCTACTTGTTGTCAGACCATATTTATCGTATTGGAGGTTTACTTGTTAAACCTATGTTGGTCTTACAAATGAGAATTCATGTGATAACTATATATTGCAACTCTTGAGTCCAATATTACTAGTTACTCCTGGAACAGTTTCATATGGATTTATTTGGTAAACTATGCAGGACATTGCAGAACATCTCACAAGTATTTATGTCAAGCGTTGTGAACGTGGAAAGCGGTGCTTATATGAAGGTTCAACACCACCAGGTGGCTTCCCTAATTCATGGGTATTTTCTTTTCTCTATCATCCCTTTCACCCTCAGTTAATCTCTGCTGCCAAGAGCTAGTACCGGTGTTGGACATAGAACCAGTGACTTTCTTCTATCTTTGTCTAATAACAAATATTTTTGTTTTGCAGAATGGTGCGACATACTGCACTTCTGAAGTTGCAGTCTTGAAGAACAATGAAATACATACTTGGGACAGAGGCTATGATGATGATGGAAATCAAGTGAGATAGTCACCCAATTTATCTTAATATGTAGTCGAACAGAGAACAACAGAATCTTTGATTAATTCTACATTTTCCTTCCATGTATAACAGGTCTGGGGAGTGAAGGGAGGTCCATATGAGTTCAAACCTGCACCAGGCTCATTTGTCCTGCAAAATTGACATGTAGATAATATATGCAGACTGTAAATTTGAACTAAAACTTGTTAGATTTCCGAATTATGTATATAAACCCTCATCCAATCTTTTAGCGATATCCAAAGATGTAATGCTGCAAAAGGCAACTGCATTAGAAGTTGAGGGTTGCTCAAGCACTTGTAGGAAAACCATTGTGGGCTGAGAGTCCAGATGTTCATAATAATAAAGCAATCGTTACTTTTAGCTTTTAGCTGGTTTATTTTCACTAACCTTATTGCTTCATCTCTCTGCTTTATGCTTTTCGGGCTTTTCTAACATCTGTCGTTAGTATTCTTGTCTCCTTCCAACTGTACATTTTGTAACTAGATGAGAAGTTGAGAATTATATCTAAAACAGGGGAAGGAATCAAGCTGTCATGACGTCATTATTGAGAATTGGGATCTGCTCATTGAGATCGGCTTCAGTCAGTGCAAGGCCCGTTTGAACCCTGTTCGAACAGCCTTTACAGCCTTGCATCGGGAATATCACCATACTTCTATGCTTTATTTCATGGAGATATTCCCTTGTTTGAATGGGCTTTGCACCAACTGAATCCCATTTCCTGCTCATCACACCGATTTCACAACCATATCCCACCGTGTATTGGGAACAGTTCCTCATGAATAATAAATAAAAGTATGGGAGATATTCCCAATCTGTGTTGCCAGGACATGCTGTGAGGAGCAGATTCGGACTCCATCATTGAGTGATCAATCTCAGTCTTACAGTACTATTGTGCCGTTTGAGTTTTTACCACAAAAAGAGCAGTTGAGAAGTTGTAACACTCATACCTATGAAGCCAAGGTGAATCTAGGAGTGCAAATTGGGCAGGCTTAACCCGAACCTGGCCTGGCCCAACACGATATTTTCACGGGTTGGGTTGGATATTTTGGGCCTCAGGTTGGGCCTGGACTTGAAAAGGTGGATTTTTTATATTTTTCGGCTTGGGCTCGGGTTGAGGTCTTGAGTAACCCGAGCCTGGCCCTTTAGATTAATAATGATAGGTGTATGGCAAGGTTTACATGATATTATTGATTTCTAATAGTGATGGATGAAATTTTAGTTTGACGGCTCTTTAGGTTAATAGAATTATTTTATTTTATATGATGGTTGATGTTAACAATAAACTTATCAAAATTCCAGGTATCTTTTCTTTTCCCCCTTTTGAAATTAAAGTTCAGTTTATGATTCAAAGAAAATTCCAGGTATATCTTATATTTTCTAGATGAAATAATCTTCTTTTAATTTTATGATGAAAATTATATTGCATTTTTTCTTTTCTAAATGCAATATATGTATTATACACACGCAAATGTATATTAATTTTTGGTTTAGGGCTTTGGGCTGATTAACCAATCCAAGTCTGGCCTGGACCCGGGCCCAACCCGAGTGCCTGAAATTTTAGTGCGGGTTGGGCTTTGGTTGGATAATTCGGGCTTGGGCTGAGCTCGGGCTTTAGGTCCAATTCTTAGGGTTGGGCCTGCCTGGGTTGAGCTAAAACTCGGCCGAGCCCGCCCGACTTACACCCCTAAGTGAATCACTGGGTTCCAGAGATGATGTCAGGGAAGACGGACGGAGCTCAGGAACACGATCAAAACCTACGGCAAGTTTTGGTGTGCACGTGACAAGTTGACAGAGGCGTTAGACTTACCTTGGGTTCAAGTTGATCAGACGGAGATGAAAGCAAGATCAGCCTTTCTATGAGAAGGTAATACTAATAAATATAACTACCTTTGAAGGAATTTTCATATTTTGGGGCTTTATAAAGACTGGTTGTTGTTTTCTATTTATCCACCAATTATCAATTTAATAAAGCTTACCCACTCTTGCTTGTGCGTGAAAAAGAAAACTGTAATTCTTTTTGCAAAAATCATTATTTCGATTGGATCAGTTATATGGAGTATGGGCTATTGAAAGAAAAAAAGGAATCTGAAAATTTTTAATAAATATCACAGAGACACAGAGGAAGAATTTCGTTTGAAGAACGGAGGATGACAGATTCAGTAAAGAAAGTGGTGAATGCGAAGAGTTTTAGAATTGTTGGTAGAGGATGACAAAATGAGGAAAGAAAGTAGCGAAGACAAAAGAGTATTAGAACTGTTTGCTCATTAACACAAGGGCAGTTTGGTTCAAAAACATTGAATAGTGTTCCCAATAATTTAAATCCAACATTATTTTGAAAACATCACTGAATTTGTTAATATATGAAATCTCGTCATTTTATATTGTAATTTGTAAATCCTTGGATCTTTGCACCACAGTTGTTACATACATGTAAACAAGTACAATGATGTATTTAAGCTGGTTTCGCAAAATGTTGATTCATTTGGTCGGACAGATCAGATGAAAACAAAGGGATGAGGGATCCATTCCACAGAGTGCTCGATTTCTGATTTTCCATAAATTTCAAAAAAAGAATAATAAAATTTTTTAGCTAGAAACAATGTGATTCCCATCTCGCAAGTCCCAAGGTACCTATGGTGGATTGAGGGAAGGCAAATTTCCGATCGAGATCAAATTTGACCATTTCATAAAACTTAAAATCACCTCTGCCCGATAGAGATCAGGTGGTGGGGCCACAGCTCAAAGAACCAAACCAACTTGATTCAAGGGTCAAGGATTGTTTGGCCATCCATTATGGACCAACAATCCCATGTGATTTGGTAGATACACATGTCAATAACCATTGTGGTAATCTTTCTTTTTATTTTTTATTTTTATTTTTGGAGGGGTAAGAAGATCAACTTGATTTTATTCACCCATTTACATCTCTAAGTGCTTAAAGGCCTAGGTGAAAACTCACAATACCTCAATTAACAATAAACACAACCATCGCAGCACCAATTACCTGTATTTACAGCTGAAGAAATCAAAACATCTTTATTGTAGTCACTTCCACGGTGTTCTGAATATACCTAGACTCACAGACTTACTAAGTTAAGGGAATTTGCCTTCTCCTGCAGGGTGTTAAGCAGGCTGTCAAAGCTCTTCTTGAAGGACTCTACCCCTTCAAGTTCCAGCTGTGACCCTACCTCGTTCCAGTCAATCCCCAACTTCTCAAGTGCACTATATATGCCTTCAGCCTCTGAAATGTTGGAGTCAATTGTCCTTGATGCAGTACCATGGTCGATAAATGCTTGGAGAGCTTGGTCAGGCATGGTTGAGACCTGAAACAAAGAGAACAGACAGAGTAACTAACATTTACTGAGAGAGCTCCAAATAAATCATGCATTTTCCTTCTGAAATTGGTTTCATCTTAATGACATTTGATCACAAAATTGAAATAGCATCTGATATCCGCATTAATAGACAAAGGTCATCATTGAGAGTAAAAGGCTCACCGTGTCTGGTCCTATAAGAGGATCGACATATAAGGTGTCAGGGTAGGCTGGATTCTTAACACTTGTTGATGCCCAGAGGACCCTCTGCTTCTTGGCACCTTTCTTGACCAGAGCCTCCCATCGTGGACCAGAGAACTTCTTCTGGTAAAGCTTGTATGCCAGCACTGCCTGAGCTACTGCAGCCTATGGAAATTCAAGTAATAACAATGAGAAAAGCTACTTTCTAAAATTCTTTCAGATACTTCCCACTGAGGATATTAGAAAACATTTTATATACCTTCCCTCGGAGGTTAAGAGCCTCTGGGGTTCCTATCTTCTCAAGCAACTTGTCCACAAGGGTGTCTACACGACTGACAAAGAAGGAAGCTACACTTGTAACCCTAGAAAGGTCACTCAGTCCAGAAGATTCAAGGCCATCCAAGTAAGCATCAATTACTGCTTCATATCGGGAGAGAGAGAATATGAGCTGTAACATGGAATAAGTGAAATCAAAATGCTGCAACCTAAATGAAAAAAAAACTCTACGAAAATGGTAGTTGTTTTATGCAACTCTTAGAAAGGCCATAAAGTGTGGTATGAACTTACAGTTACATTGACACTTATACCAAGTGAAATAACCTCCTTGACAGAAGGGACACATTCTGCTGTAGCAGGGATCTTTATATATACATTGGGGCGGTCAACAACCTTATGAAGCCATTTTGCAGCTTCAACAGTACCTTTTGTATCATCAGCAAGTTTAGGAGAAACTTCAACAGAGACATAGCCATCAGCTGCATCAGTTTGATCATAGATCGGCTCGAAAAGTTTGCATGCATCTTGAATGTCCTTTACCACGAGTTCCCAGTATGCACTTTCAATGTCTTTTCCTGCTTGTACAAGCTCTCTACAAAATCCAGCTCAAAGTCAATTGTGGGTTTCAGAATCTCAAACAAAGATCACTTTCAACACCTCAGTCTCAACTTAAATACAAGGTTTGGACTTGTGAAGTTATGAATCACCTCAAACAGATAACATGAAAAGCAAATAGGGCCTCCAAAGATCTGGATACTGAACTCAGTTTTAAAACCCACACAAACATGCAAATACATACACTCATTAATCATGTGCACAAACAAGCAAGGACTTTAGACACCAAACATTAAGTCAACTTGGTAGTAAGTTCATTCCATCTCTACATAGTTTTTTTTTTTTTTTTTGATTGGACATCTCTACATAGTTCATACATAATGTCTAAACCGGAAGGTGGCATCTAAGAAACCGATCCCTTGTCCCACACTCAGGCAGTCTCTCGATTACCATGAAAGCAAATTGCAATTAGCTATATTGTCATAACAGTATTTGAGACAAGGATATATAATTGAAATACCTGAATTGCTCATTGTAGGCATTTGATGTTGATATAGCTTTCTGGAAAATCTGAAATTAGATTTATTTAACATCTCATTAGATGGAACCTAAAGATAAATGAAGTAGAAGCAATATCTAAAAGAAGCAAGCGAAATGCATTGCAATGACAAAGAAACAAATGTCTTGCATTATTTGCAAAATAAATTGCATTTAAGACATGAAGCTTGTGTATTTTCTATTTCAAATTCAGTGATGAAAATAATAAAAGATAGCATAGTTCTTGCACTTAAGGAGGAAACTAACAAATAAAAGAAAACAAGAAAGCAAAAGGTTATGTAGTTACCGCTGGGTTGCTGGTGACACCTCTAACTCCACTTGCAATCAGTGGTAGCAAATCTGTGACAGGACGGCATAGATTATCGTACCAAGGGCTCTGCCCTTGCAGCTCATAGAGATCATGAAGTGTGGTTCTTTTTATTTGGGCCCCATTTCCATCAATTTGAGAACATCTAACTCTGTAGTGGAACATTATTGGATAAATTTTCAGACTAGGAGAAACAAGAAACCAAAATAATACCAACAAAATGCACCCTACCACCCAAAAAAAACCTAAAAAAAAAAAAAAAGGAAAGAAGCAATACAATTGTTGTTACTATTTATCAAAAAGACCAAAGACATTTTTTTATCAGTAAAAGACCCACGATATTGCATTGGAAGCAACACAGACATTTATCTTATTCAACCGTGCATCATGTGTCCATTTACCTGGTCCATAAAAGAGTGTACATCTGGGTGGACTAACAACACTTTAGCAACTACAAACAAGCAATGTTAATAATAGATGGATGATGGTCGAAAATAGAAAGCCCTTCCTTTCCAGTTTGCCACCTAAGCCCTCAAGTGTAAGAATTCCAGGATCATGTACATCTAATTGCTTTGCTATATGGCATATCTAGCTAATCCACCCAGAAGCTTCAAATGGGTTCCATGCCAATGGCACACATTATTGGCTAACATATAATAAACTCTCAAGTCTTAACAGCATCTGTGGAAGATCTTCTTTTCCTTTTCCTTTTTCTTTCTTCTTTTTTTTTTTTTTTTTTTTTTTGGGGGGGGGGGGGTCATGATCTAATTATTTCAGGCAGAATAATTACCAACCCAAGAATGGAAACAAATTGGGAACAGATAATTAATGAAATAATCTCCATTTAATATGTTAAGCAATAAAGCAACGACCATCCTCAAAAAATTGAGCCTAATAACCATCGAACCATGAATCAAACAAAATATATATGGAAGTCAGCAAATTTTAGCATTTCATGTAAACAACATAGAAACTATCATCCAACAATCAGTATCAATTACGAAAAAGCAAAACTTACACCAACGGCCTCCTTTCGACATGATCTCTTCGAATCGTTAGTTTAGACGATGAGAACCCTCTGTTAACGAGAGATCGAGCGTGGAAAGCGACCAGAGGTCTTGATTCGGAGGATCTAAACCTGGGAGAAGATGATGAGGAAGCAAAAGTTGGATTTGCGAGCTTGGAAATGGAGGCCATGAGATCAAGCGAGAGAGAGAGAGAGATGGCGAGGGCGAGGGTCGATGAAAACGAGAACGATGTTAGGGTTTTAAATGGTTTTAATAATTTGAGGACAAGAGAGGGTTACTTTCAGGGTTGAGAGTTTTCAGTTGACCCGGCGAGTAGAGACGTTGTATCAGAACTCAGAAGAAATGGCAAAATGGGAAGATCGTTTCGCATAAAAAAAAAAAAAAAAAAAAAAAGGAAAAAGCCCAATCTACGAGAAATAATAGAGAGAAATCGCCAAAAAAAAAAAAAAAAAAAAAAACCGCTACGCGTACGGGCGTACCCTTAGGCTATAACCGTGAATCACAGCTCTCACTGTATTGATGTGGCCCACCTTAATTCGGCATAATTGACGTTAAGGTGAGCCACAGCAACACATCGAAGGTCATGATTTCACTCTTTTGGCTTTGAGCTAAAACCATGGGCATAGCGGATTTGTGCTCAGATCACATTTGAAATTTGATAGATTTCAGGAGAGAAAGGGATAGACGCCATTTTAGCGGTGGCGGGTCCGGTGTATCTGCCAAGGTAGGTGAAGATCGCGCAGGACTGTTATGCCCCCTTCTAACTTCTTTAACCCGAGTCGGATGTGCTCTTCACACCAATCTCACATCATATTTCAGCCACACATGGGAATTAATACGCACTATAAAGATTAGATTGGTGCGGGGAAGGCTTTCTAAGGAATTTCTGATAATTCAGGGGAGGTTTAAGTAATTAATCTTTATTGTTATTAATATAATTAAAATTATAATATCTAAAATTTCTTCATCATAAAACTAACACGTATACCTTTTAATTTGTAGTTTGATTCCAATGCAATGGTGGGTGTTGAGTATGAAATACATTACAATAGTCGTATGGCACTAAAATAAATAGATATTTTTCTTTTCGAAACCCACAAAACAAAACATGAATATGAACAAATAGAACTATAAATAAATAATTGGGAAGAAGGTGAAGGGCAATCTAGCCATTTTAGATAGGGAAGGGTTGGTGAGAATAAGATATTTTTGGTTGGTGTACACGTGTTTTAATAAGAAGGGAGGGTTGTCGTCTAGATAGTTACGGCTATCAACATAGCACAAAGGTCAATTTAGATGGTGGGAATGGAAATGGAAAAGGCCAAAAGGGGACACATTCCCTACACGGCGGACTTTGGTCCATCCCTTCCCAGTTCCCAACGAGTTACACAACGGGCATGGCCCATCCCCCCAGCCCATGACCCCTCGGCCTTATCAACCAAATCGAATTTTTTGCCCACTATTCTCTATCCACGCTCTACCCACATTGGATTGGATGTTGTCTTGCTTGTGAGATGCGCATTGTGGATAAGGTACAGGTAGAGAAAGACAGAAACTGAAATCGGATTTGGATTTATTTTTCTAACACGTTTTAACCGTATATCTAAAATATCTCTCTAATTATAAATTTTTATTCACATAAAATATTTTTACTGTACAGCTGAAACTTGCTGTGAGGTTGGTGTAAGGTGCACAATCCAAATTCTTCTTTTATCAACCAATTAATTGGCACTTTGCAGCAGCATCTAACCTACTTTTGGCTGAGGCCATTAGTTACTCCATCAAGGTTGGTGGAATTGAGCAGATCCAAATTCTACGATCCTAGTTGCGACTAAAATCCATCAAGGTTTCGCTGGCTGACCCGTCATCTGGCTTTTTCCCTTTTCTGTAAGTTTGCGAGAATTAAAACACAGTAAATAAATGGGAGATGCAATCAATCCACTAGCCTAGAGATCTCCTTCCAAGAAAGATGATCTTTTGGGCTTTAATTTTCCTAATCCTTTGCCAGTAAGAGGCAGGAATGTGAATTCAAGTCGTTAATGCTCTCCAATAAGACACTCAACTCAAACTCATGTAGTATTTATGCTCAAAGTTTGGTTCATCTCTTTTCATTATGCATGGGAATAATTTAATATTAGGTATTGGATAGGCTTTCACACAGCAGTTTACGGGTTATACTAACCTGTTTGGAGCAATGTTTTAAAAATCGATTTGGAGTTAAAATCGTTTTGGCCACTGCTTTTAGGTCAACAGTTCCATCATCTTGATTTAAATGGACAGTCTGTTTTGACAAAAAATTGAAAGATTAAAATAAAAATGGACAAAAACTATTAAACGGGTCGATGATTCGAATGTCCGAGTCAACGGGCATTGACCAATTCAACGGTTTTTTGTCTAAGGCGAGCTTGGGATAAAATAGATCTGGTTGCCTGAACAGTTCCTGGGCCAAATCGTCTGACTGTCTGAGTCAATAACAGTTCGAAAACCTTGCTTTAAAGGATTTATGAGATTATATGAGCCGAGAAACCCAGAAAGTCATGAATTTGCATTTGATAAAAATCCAAAAAGCTAAAAATAGGTTTGTATGAGCCGTAAAATTGACTTTCTAGTGAGATACCTTCTCCAAAACCGTTCAATCAAAGCAGAAGCTCTCCCAAAAGAGCTATAATTTAAGTCAAAGGCACACATGATTTTATTGTAACTTGTGGGAGCTAATCCTGAGTTCTGTTTGGAGTTGATGAACTGAGAGTCAGGTCTACACTTGGAAGATAAAATAGGTCCAAGCTGAGCTGGAGTTGATTGCTTTTTTTATTTTTTTTTTATAGGAGTGGATCCGGGCCAAGCTGAGCCAAATATCTAACTATTCGAGTTTAGTTCACTAATAAACTATCAAGTTCAAGTTCGATTATGAACTAAACATTTTATAAAAATAAAAAAAATATATACATATAAAAGTTAAGAATTATAAAAAATTATTATTTTTTTTTATTGTTATATATTTAAGCTCGCAAGCCTCATAAACTAAGCTTTATTGAGCTCGATCTACTCATGACCACCCCTACTTTTTGAAGGGTTACACAACCCACGATCCTTAGTTGCAATTGGAGACAATAAGTCAGGGCAGATTGATCAAATGAAGCAGTACGGTGAGGAGCAACCGTGCTGAGATGAGAATATAAAGGAGTTTTACTTGGGGTGAAATTTTGCACAAGTACCCAGCAATCTCCACAATGATGTGTAGGTTCATTAAGGAGGTTTAAGAGAATCACCCGATAGGGCCCATTTTCACTTGAGGGAAAGCTGTCAATATTTAGATGGAATAAAATTATCTATTTTAATAATGATATTTTATGATTAAAACGATTATTGTCTTATTTATTTAATATTATTAAAAAAATAAATAAATACACTTAGTCGAATAAATAGATTCCCGAAAAACGAACGGAACTTCAAAAGAATATCATCCTCAGCCTCAGCGGTAGGACAAAAAAAACTGAAAGGCCTAGATTAGAAGGCCGTAACCATGAGTAATCCTTGTTTGAAAGCAGGTGGTTCAACATCCAGAACTTACACTTCTATCAAAACCGAATATAGACTACTAAGTGATAACATTATTAGAACAGAGACAAAATTAGGCCTTTCTGTTAGGCAATAAAAAATATATCTAAATTATTAAAATCCTTCTACCAAACACAACAGCCAACTCACAGAAGCAACACCAATCAGTCTCGGGTAATGTAAATGCATCACATGAAAGGGGAAGGTGGCGAATGATTTTTTTTTTCTTTTTCTTCTTGAATTTTTTTATACCAATTTTCAGTTCCGGCATCTTCCTTTTCAAGTGACTTAGTTGTTAGCAGGTCCTCACAAACTTCATGGAATATATATATATATATATATATATATATATATTTCAATTGGGTTGTTGGGTTATGGTCATGAGCCAACCACCCGTTACCGAACACCCTCAACAACAAAACCAAAACAAGTGACGCCAGATTTGTTATTTTAGGAGGACGATCGCATTTATCAACTCCCCACTATATTTAAAATTCAATTCATAAGTCACAAGTCAATTTTTTTTTGGAAAAGTAGGGATCGGCCCAATACAGATTTCTGAATTCCATTACAGATCTTTAAATATTCAAAATGTCAAAAAACTCTTATCCCTGCCCCAACTATATTTTGGTCCTAAAAGTCATTCTCCCAAAATTTTTTTATGCAAAAGTAAACCGTATTCCATTCAACCAAGAATCTTGTATGAATACAAAGAATTGGTAACAGTAAAGCCCATAAACAATTTCTTAAAAAAAAAACAAAATATACATAAGTAGTGGATAAAAGAGAAGAAAAGAACTTCTTCTTGTGACAAATGGTGAGTTAAGAATCACCAACTTAGGAAATAGCAATCCAGTGCAGCTCAATCCACAAAAATTGAGAGAAATAGACAGGAGGGACGTCAAACAAAGTGTCGGAGATAGCACGATCGGAGAAAGCTGCAAAAAACGGCAAAGCCCCAAATAACTGCACCCGTTACAAGCAATGGAACCTATTCCAAAAGCTACAACTGGCGGTGAAAATAATCGGGAAAAAGCCATGGATGGCAAACCAAGGCAGCAATCGTGGCCACCACCCAACACCAAAAGAATGAAGAGTTTGCCATCTGTACCAGAATACCTGCACAATAGAAACAAATAAAAAACAAAAAGAACAAAGAAGAATAACGGGTGAGAGGAAAAATGATGGGGGATGGGAGAAGAGTGAAGAACTGAAACAATGGAATGGAAGAATTAGGAGGGAGAGAGAGGAATGAGGAGAGGGGAGAAGAAAAACAAGAGAACGACTACAGAGAGAGAAAGGAAGAAGAGAAGGAAAGGGAGAGGGGGGACTCCCGAAGGGGAGCCACCCCAGTGGACCGATGGCAGAAGAGGAAACGATGAAAGGCGGACGAAGAGAATAACCTTGAGGAAGCCTCGAGAGAAGGCTCTCCCTAAACGGAGAGAGAAAAAACCTCTGGAAATCCCGGAGAGGAAACAGGGAGAGTTTACCCCCGAGTTTTTACAAGCCAGAATTGAACTTGGTGTGATATATTTATTTTGTTATGATTTTAAGAAAGCTAGACTCTTCAGGTAGTTGAAAAATAAAACATTACATGCATTTTCAGTTGTGTAGTGTTTTTGCCTTTTTCCAAACCGGAAGTCAAAATATTTCCAGTACTTTCTGGTTTTAAAAACATGGATGCTTATATTTTATATTTAATAAAGCAAATGATATTCAAATCCATTTTATGGGCTTTGTTTGGGGTCATTGCGTTTCAAAAGTATTCAAATTTGCCAACAATCAACAACACCATCACCTAATTATGAAAAAAAAAACATGTGAAACTCCCCCTCCCCCCCCCCCATTTAGACTCATTTCCTTCTCGCAAAATTTGCTATAAATAAATCAATAAAAATATACAAATAGGGAGATGTTCCCAATCAATGCACAGTTGCCACAAAATTGGGATTCAATACGGTATGATATCTCAAAACATGCCACGTTGCATTGTTGATTCAAGAAGATGCAGAGCCATCCCACCACCCGAGTCTGGGAGTCTGGACCTGAGGTATACCCAGTGAGGAGCAGATCCCATTTGCTCACCACCACCCAAACCCAAGGCGTATTCACTACAACATTTTTCCAAAAATCAGCTTGCCAACACAATTAAACAGTGTTTTCTTGTTTGTTTTTTTTTTTTTTTTAGCCTTTCCTATGACTATTATGATCCATAAGAACCTCATGGCAGCACTTGTAAAAGGGGCATAGGAGATTTAAAAGAGTGCAACACCAAAACAGTCGCCCTAAGTCAGATTTCTGGAAATCATGTTTTTGTTCTTGAAAACTTAAGGGTGTTTCTACGAATTATAACTGAAAACATTTTCACTTTGATTTGAGCAGATGTGATTCCTACAAACGTTCAAACAATAAGACAAACATTTATGTGAGCAAATAATGCCCAAACTTCAGCATTTAGAACAAATTTCAATTCCCCAATAAGGCCAAAGTTACAATTTTCTAATTGACACATCTACATCTGCAAAAAAAAGATGGGGAATGTATAAGGCAACTATTCCACGAAATGGAGATATACACTTAATATTGGAGGCCATAACCTTGATCCAATGACCCAACAAAGAGGTTGGGGCCAATCTACACACAATGTAAGTAAGACTAAGACACTGGTACTACCAAGGTTTCAAGTCTCCCACTGGTCCCGCGGTCCAGTTTAATATCTTCTCACCTGGCTTCAAGTAAGTTCCTTTGCCATGTGGCAGCTTACGAGCAAGCCCATTTAGTATCTGATGGAAAGCATCTCCTGGCTGAGCAGGTTGTGGAAACAACATCGCTTGCTTCATTGAAGGGTTGGCAAGCAATCTCTGCTTCCTCAATATTACTTCTGGTGGTATTGAGGTGAGGATGGTATCCAAGTTTGGAACATCCTTCTCTGCTACAAACACTCCAATTTCCTCCCATGGGATTGCATCCGCGAAGGGTAAAACAATGTCATCTGCTATGATAACAGGAATGCAGCCAAATATGACCCCTTCAACCAATCTAGGACTCCACGGGGCCCACCCCAGAGGGCACAAACAAAAGACAGCCCGCTGCATGTCTTCATAGTAAGTTGTTGGGTGCTCTGTGGATATGTCAAAAAGAGGATTATCCTTGAAGTTCTCCCACACTGATGCTCTTGCACCTCTGTAAAATAAAAAACCAAAGTTATAACAGGTCTGTTTAGTAAAGCTAAAGCCTTCAACCTCGGGGTCACAAGAGAACTCAAATTTAAACTGCTGCAGGGGATTGTTTTTGTAGCTTTTACACAAAGGGCTCCACAGGAAACTTGTTAATGGACACACTTTCTTAGAAGCACAGCTAAAAATCACAGATGAGGGTGAAATGGATTTTAGAATTTCATTTGTCTGAAGTAGCTCTTGAGAAATCAGTCTAGAAAATAGTCTGATCAATTTAAATTTTTAAACAGTATAAAAGGGCAATTTTCACCATCTAAAAGGAATATTTAAGTAACAAGTTTTACACCTGAAGACATGGTTGCTTCCTAAAAAGCAACCCAACACTTCGAAATTTTTGGCTACTCATGAAAGCCCACCTCAAGGCTTTATTATAGAAATGCAGATCCAAGAATATCTGCCAAATACCACCTAATGTGTGATTACGTCTTTATGTGTCTGCACTCTGCAGTAATTACACTAAAAGAACAAATACTACCAGCACTTCTGACCTTAATGAAAGTCTACAAGGCATGCAAGCATGTGGAACTCATGCAGGGATGGGGAAAATGGAGAATCCAAAATTAAATTTATCCCCATGTAAGATATATACTGGGAAAAAGAATGGCCACGTTTACTTCTCCACATCTCAGTGGGTCTTTATTCCAAGTCTTTGCTATTCCCTTTCATCTTTCCTCTATTCCAAAGTAATGCGTTAGACTAAGCTGCATTATTCCTGACTGGGGTATTTCCAGGGAATACCACTACAATTATGGGCCTGATAACCAATCATTTCCCTCCTAGCAATGTCTACTGTTATGTCATCGGTTGACTTGCAGAAGATTTAGATTAAGATAGCCTTAAGTTTCTTAATAACTTGATTGATTTCAGAAGCATTAAAGAAATATACCTGGCATAATAACCACCTTCAGGATCATTTCCTACATCGTAAAACAAACCACGGAAGTACACAAAGATGGACCGAGGAGTATCAGGAGGAATTAAATGGGCTTGCATCTTCTGTGGGGGAGCATATGGAGGAATTGTAATGGAACCCTCTTTTAAGCAAACATGATTCCGCTGTCCAAAAGTTTGAACCAAGGTAGCACGTTGGAGCAATGGAAGGATACCTCGTTCAATAGCCTTCTCTTCCTAAAGTAATGGAGACGAACAAACAATAAGATATCAATTAAAGTAAGAACTGTTTGTTTCATTATGTTAATTTACAGCTGGATACAATTTTACAGTCAAATGCAAGATGAAAGGCTTCTGAAACTAAGAAATCTAAGGTACTTGCATTGACTTCAAGGAAAAGAAAGAAGTAGCTCTATCCAATTCCACCAGTGTTCACTGGTCCTACTCTGCTTGTCCTAAGCCCAGACAAAGGAGGTTGTGTCAGGTTGCCAGCTGGCAATAAAAACCTTCTACCAAACCTTTAAGAACATGAATTGGAATTGAATTGCCAACTTCGGATAGGCCATCCAATTAGATGTTCCTAACTGTTTAGTGTATGCCATTTGTTTGGAAACTCAAATACGATGTACTATACTACTATTTATATGAAAGAATTCTCTGGGTAGGATAAAGAAATTTAATCAGATTAAATATTGGAAGAGAGATTAACCAGTAGGTCAAAACAAACTTGCACCTATGCCACATACTGACCAAGTTACCTAAACCCCAGAAAAACTTCCAAAATACTGTATTGAATAGAGACATATAATATGGTATGGCATCCATTCTGGACATTGGCTCATCAGCCATGGAATATTAGATAAAAGTAATTTAAGAGCCTAGAAGCTAGAAAAAAGAGTTTACAAAAAAAAATCTAGAAAAATGATGTATAAAAAATTGAAAAGAAATTATAAAGCAAGGTTAAAATGGTGAAAAGATATTAACGGCAACAGTAATCTTTGACAATTATAAACTGTTATATCAGTAATAACAATGATAACATGGTGGCCACTGACAATATTTCATAACTATTTCAATATCTATTGTTAGGAAAAATAACGTTTAAATATTTGACACAAGAAGAAAATCAGGTATTACTAATTAATAGTAAATGATATGAAGAGCCAAAACCAAAAGACAACAGATTAATTAATGATATAAGGGTTGATCATAAGATTTTCACAACTACTTAACAATTATAATTGGCATTCTAGGAGCCATGATTAAAGCTATACCCATATCCCAGTTCCCTAAGATTGGAAGCCTAGAAAGTCTTATACAGAGAAACATGGTCAAAGTGAAAGTTAAGCTACTTACTTGATAGTGAAAGCAGGCACCAAAATCATGGGGAACAACAAAGAAGTGATCAGCCCCTTCTGATCTATTCCAGTAAGGCCAGTTTGAAGAGATCAGCTGGATTGCACTTCTCATCATCCGTGGAGATTTGAAGGGCAATGGAAGCCCATTGGGCGTAAGGTCACAAGTTGAGTATACAGGGGTGTAGAACCAATCAGCTTCCTCGGGATTGAGTGTTCTAACTGGGCTGGATAACAGAAATCTATGCATGAAAATTTCAGCAGCAAACATATGGGTAAGGCATCTTTGATCCTTCTGCAGGATCTTTTTGTTGTATTTGCTTGGAAGTTCATAAACAAAAACTTTCAACCTCCCTACAGGATCATCTTCCAAGACATCACCAGCACTTCCTACAGTTAATGAGAATAAAACCACAGTCATGGATCTCATGCTTGAAGATTTCTAGTAAATGATTTTTTTTTAATAAATTATATTTCATACACACACAAACAGAATAAAAGCACAACTTCAAAAAACTTACCCACAAAATTATAAAGTTGACGACTTCTGGAAAATTGCACAATATCCTTAATAGAATTTGCATACAAAATTAGGGCATAGGAAACTGTTTCTTGTAAAAGATCTTCTGTAGTAAGTTTTTGCTAGATTTCTGAACATATCATATAATTTTGTGAGATTAAAAAGAAAAGCGCAAACAAACACCATCATATTCATGCAGGCACATAAATATGAAGCACAATCATAAACTTAACCAGAACTCAGGAGATTGGGGCAAGCTTCAAATTTATTTTGTGTCAAATACAAGCTTGAGCTTGGACAAGTAATAAAAAAGATGGAATCTATACAAATTTTGATTAGGTCAAGAATAAGCCAGTCTTTTTGACGAATTTCAAGGTTGGACCTGTGGAACAGAGATGTAAATAACCGAGTCAACTTAATCGCTTTGCTGCTTGAAAGAAAGTTACGCAGCATCTCTCCCACCCATGGGTATGCTACAATGGCATCTTAGTCATTACAAGAGCAGATCTACAATATTCCTCATAGTCATGGCAGAGCAAAAGAAGGAAAAACAACAAATTACATCGAAATGCATGCATTCCAGAGTAAATTACAAGAGCAGATCTACACTAGCCCTTGGATTATTCACTTACTGATAAAGAGGACAATCAATCAAACAATACATCCCAAATCCAATATGGAGGGCCCTTTCTAACCATAGGGTTAAAAGGATGCATAATGTTGATTCACAGATTTAATTGGCTAGTACAAATAATAAACGGGAAGCAAATAAAACCTTAATAACTTTAATTTATTCATTTCCTTCCCAAATTACAATAGATGGACAACCGACAAGCATGAAAGAGAAGTGCACGTCAGAGGATATAATAGTACCTCAGACAATAAATCTTGTGAAAAGTATACCTGCTGAGACAAAAAAGCAATGACTGACTCATTTGACAACATAAACCACAGGTCCATCTGAATTACCCAAAGTAGGAACAGACAGATTATAGATCTCTGGATTATTCCAATGTTCTTTTTCTTGTCAATTCTTTTGGTAATCATCCAAATATTGGTTGTTGTGCTCTAAACTGAGAGGGATCTGGGATCCCTGAAGCAGAATCAGCTATGACATGGAGGAGCCTTTAGTTGGTTATGTGCTTTTTTTTTATCAATAGTTGGTTATGTGCTTTTATGAAGAGAACATCCCATCTTGTTGAGTTGAACTCTATACTTGAAGGGTTGCAAGCTGTAAGAGATTACAAGGTCCCTAGATCTTTCTTTAGGGACTGAAAGACAAACATTTGGTCCATTACACTTTGATAGAATGCCTATTTTGGTGTGCTAACTGCAATCTTTGCTCAACTGGATCTTTCACTCATTCATTCATTTTGAGCATTTGGGTACAGTACAAAGTTGTAGCCCCTCCTGCATCTAGAAATTTTATAATATGTCCCTCATTCCCGGAAAAAAAAAACGCCTTGAAGTTTCTCTTTCTTGAATATTGCATAAGATCTTGCAAATTCTCTCAATTTTGGGTTCCAAATGAGATTTTGGTAGTTAACCAACCACACCTTATTGAAGCTAGGGAAACATAAACCGGGCAAAAGAGTCAATTTTAGTTTATAAACCAGTTAAATCCGGTGCATTAGACACAAAATTCACCACATTCCAAACTCCAGATTATAGCAGTGCTTCATGCTCTAATATTCTCACGTTCGATAATCAAGACGGTACCTCTCAAATTCATCAAATACCATAGATTTTAATTTTCTTTTTTTTTTCAAAACGTTTGCTCAACATAATTAGAGACCAATATATATAGAGAGAGAGAAAGAGAGAGAGAGATAGATTTAACTCTTAATTCCAGCAACATAATTGAGAAGTATCAACTAACAAGAGGCATAACTCAGTTCAATTTCCGCAAAACAAATATTCAACTTCACTCTATTATCAAAGAGTGTCAAGATATCAGCACCAGCCTCAACATCAATATCTTATATATGCATGTCCTAAGGGAAGCTAATTTTGCAGCCGATCGGTTAGCTCCCTTGGACACCAGCATACTATATCGGACTCAAAGTGTCAAGATGTAAAATTATACTTTATTTGGTTGTTTGATGCGTATGGCCTTGTAAGAAACTCTGATTTGTAAACCTCTCTATTTTATCAAAAAAAAAAAAAACTCAGTTTCTCAGATCAAGCTCCCAAACTTTAACTAATATCAGGATTCAAGAAAACAAAAGATTGAAAACCAGCCTAAAATTCCAAACTAAGCCGAACAATGAATAGAAATCAGAGAAACCCACCTGAAATTCTCTCCGTTCGTTGACTCTGGTCGAGCTTCTCAGCACCAATTCCCAAAACAAAAGCCGGAGTAATAACAACAAAATTAAACAAAACCCATATGGGAATTTTCATTTTTTCCCCTCCTCGAAAACCCAATCTCTAATCTGAGACTCAAAAAGCAGATACTGGAATAGAAATCTTGAGATGGGTTTTCGGGGGTTCAGCCCAAAGAGAAAGGCGAAGATTTATTTATGGGAAGAGATCGTTGGTACGTCGTGCGCAGGGTGGTTGAGAGCCTTGCTTTCTTATGTTTCGGGTTTCGAGAATGAATAAAAAATTGATGCTACAGATTTTCAGAAGGTAGTGATTGATGGAGAAATGCTGAGAGAAATTGCTTGAAGAAACGGAGAAGAGGGGCTTTGGGTTTTACTTTTCGGTGATTTGTCAGGGAAGATTAGAAATCCTTTTTTCATGGATGGCTAGATTAAAGATTTTAAGAAATCTAGCGGTTTTCTCAAAGCTCCGTTTGGTTCTCCAAGTTTGCTAAGAAGTCGATACTCGATACTCCATAGGGTCCGGTTCTCCTCTACGCAGTTACAGACTTACAGTTTAGACCTGTTCACCGGCCGAGCTGGGCCGGGTTTGGATCGGAACAGAAAATTACTAGGCCCAGGCCCGGCCCTATATAAAACCCGAAGCCCAATTTTGATAGATATTTTATAATATATTAATTATATATTATTAATAATATTATATATATATTTAATACTGTTTTCTATTAATTTTATTATTATATAATATATACTATGTATTATTAACATATATATTATATTTCTGTTATATATTTAATATTATTGAGCCGGTTTTATTTGAGAAAGCCTAAGTTCAACCCGAAAAATAGTCGGGCCCAACCCATCTTAAATCAGGTTCGAACAAAATTATGATCTTATATGGCTTGTATGATATATTAGACATGAATTCAGGGTTCCAAGTATCCATGCACCCCAATAGGCTGAAAGGTGAGTATAGACAATTTGAACCATGCTCACCTTTTTTCAGTTTTTTTTTTATTTTACAAGGTTAGTTTTATATTATTTAATTATTAAAAAGAATTTTTTAAATACATTAAAAAGGGGGTATCGGTACCCCAAAGATATGATACAATTTCAGTTAGAATCTTATCAAACTAGTTTTTATTTTTTTCTTAGAAGAACAAAACCATGAAAATCAAACTTTTTTCTATTTAGGGATATGGATCAACATTTTTTAAGAACAAAGCATCCCTTTTTTGTTTCTTACATATGCATTAGTGAAGAGTGACCATCTATATGATCCATGTGCTAAAAGAAATAGATTATCAAATATGAGATAAATGGGTAAATAGATAATAATAAAGTATGAACAATAAAACAAGTTGTTTTCTTATACATTTTATATGTATTTTTGTATTATTTATATATTTATTTATTTGCTCATCTATATATATATCCTTTTTTTTTGAATTTTTTCTTTTTTAATTCCATATCATATTTTAAACAACCAATGAAATGCACTTTCCCATTAACCTAAATAATCTCTTCCCCAACATTTATCCTAAATAATATCTTCTCTAATTCCTATTTATCTCCAAAATTATCTCTAATTTAGTAGAGAGTTTCTCTCATAAGTTATCTCTAATTCCTATTTATCCTCTCCCCTACTTTATATATATGTATATATAAAGAAAGTTTAAATTAAAATTTTTAATAATTATTTAAATATTCTAACAAAATTATATAATAACTTTAAAATATTTATTAAAAGCACAAAAATAATTTTATATTTTTACAAAATATATCACGAAATTATGTACTAACAATTTAAATTATGTTTTTCCAGCTTACCAATTTAAATGTTTTTCAAATAATTAATAATATGTAATAGCTTTAGATAAATAAAATTCAGATAACAAAAAAATTTAAATATTTTATAGATTATTTAAATATTTAAATAACTAAGTACTTATCATAACTATATTTTAAATAGTTAAAATAAAGAAATTATGTAATAAATTTAAAAAATTTCTTCAAAGTAGAAAATAATTATAACATAATATTGGAATTAAGAATTGTTTAATATATTACAAAATTGATAATGAAATTATGTAATAATAGTATAAATTATGATTCATGGATTATTAAATTAAATAAATAATTCATATTTTAAATTTTAAATATTTTACATTTTATTTAAGTATTTAAATAATTAAATATTTTAAATAACAAAATATTTAACATAACTATATTTTAAATAGTTCAAATAAATAAATTATGTAATAATTTTATAAAAATCCTGAAAAGTAGAAAAATAATTATAACATAATATTGGAATTAAGAATAATTTAATATATTATAAAATTGATAATGAAATTATGTAATAATAGTATAAATTATGATTTCATGGATAATTAAATTCAATAAATAATTCATATTTTAAAATTTAAATATTTTACATTTTATTTAAGTATTTAAATAACTAAATATTTTAAATAACAAAATATTTAGCATAACTATATTTTAAATAGTTCAAATAAAGAAATTATGTAATAAATTTATAAAAATTATGAAAAGTAGAAAAATAATTATAACATAATATTGAAATTAATATATATATATATATATATATATATATCAATGGTTAGGTCATTCTATTTTGATTGGTTTACAAATAGCCAAAGTGAAACTAATCCAACTTGGTCGAATCGAGAAATTTTTGAGCCAAAGCCAACCTAAACTACTAAAAAACCGAGCAACTTGGGTTGGTCGGTTTCATCAGTTTGATGAATAAACCTAACTGAAATTAATTATTGTTATTTTTGTATTATAAAAAATTATTAAAAGTAGTATGTAAAATATGAATAATTATTAATTATTTAAACAGTTTAAAATATAAAACAATTATATACTCTTACGTGTTTTTATTAGGGTCATTTACTATAACACACCTTATAGTTTTACATATTTACTTAAAACTACGTTATAGTTTTCATTTTACTAAAACCTTTCATATATTCTACAACTTATTTACTTAATCGATCTTTCATTAAGGAGTATTTGTTTTGCCGTTTGGCCCATGATTTTTTATTCCAAAAATACCCTTAACACTTTTTTGTACATAAAACAAAATTAACCAATTATAGCCAATAGAGTGGTTGTCTGTGTCTTATTAAGGGCAAAATTGGTGTTTTTATTTTTATTTTCTTTTGATTAAATTTATTTAAATGAACATTAGGGTCAACACTATCATTATTAAGTAGTGTTTTAGTAGAATACTAACTATAGGGTAGAAGTTAGTAAATCCATGCAACTATAAAGAATATTTTAGTAAATGACTCTTTCTATTATTCAACTTTCGCTTAATAAATCCTGTACATCGCACAGATGCCCGCTAGTTACAATCAAACTTCACAACCAAGTGAATAACCCTATTACAGATACACGATACATGATACATGCTGGAAGGTGCACACCTAGAAGAGGAATGACAAACTTAAATCTTGTAATCATGCACGATGGAGGTAATAGGCCAAGGTGGAGTAGGCTGTTCCACCAATCATATGGTCATATATATTCAGGTTTGATGATTACAATTTTAACTTTACCAATCATATGGTGCCCCCCATACCCTTTTAATTGACCAATTTGCCTTTTCTTGGTCTTCCATGTAAGATGATGTTGAAATTTGAACAAACTGAAAAGTTACGATTTCTTTCTATTTTTTATTCGGTGATGATGTATTAAAGGGTCAATATTGGTAATTGACAATTTACAAAATATGGAAGATTTTAGGGACAGTTCGGTTTGTAGGAATAAAGGTTCATATTTGGAATTGAAATAAGGGTTTATTCTGATTCTAACTGTTTGGTTGGACAGAATCAAAATTTCATTTTCATTTATGGTGGAATGGCATTCCTCATTTAAGGGAATTGTCATTCTCTCCCTTCCATCTCCCATAAGAATAAGAATTCATTCTATCCAATTCTTGACTCTGATTCTAGTATGAATCAAATAGATGAGGGGAATAAGTTAGGATACTTTGTCAATGTGCACTTGTCATCAATGATACAAAATGCATGAAAGTGCAAATGAAAAGAATGACATTGTTAATTTACTTGGGGTTTTGCCAAATTTTTGTTTCAGCCCGAACCGAGGTATTTATGTACCCCGGTTTGGATTTGTATGCATATATTTGCCATACAAAAATGTAATGATTAAGAAGTTAAAAATGCTTTTTTTTTTTCTGACATCTTTATAACATGAGGAGAGCACATTACTGTACCCATTTTTTGAGTACAGATTTGTATTATTTGAATCTGGAGTTGATGGAATGGCAAAGACACCATCATACAGCCTTTTGCATCGAGAACCCACTTTGCATCATTGAATCCAAAAAATGATATTTATGCAAAGCACGTATTTGTATTTGTACCGCAAACAAACACAGCCTTAAGTTTTATTTTACTTCATTCTCAAGGCAAATAAATAAGATAATGCAAAAGGCAAAGCAGAATTAAGCCATAATTCGCAATCAAATCATTTATACTTCTGAAATTTTTACATCAATTTAAATGAAATTACACTACAAACAAATTAGACCCTAAAGTAAATCTTAGTTACAGAAAAGTATGACAGTGGGAAGAGATTTGACCGATCAAAATCCCATGTAAAGTCTGATGAATACCACATTACCACTTTTACTATACCGTCTTATTGGTTATAACTTTTCCGGTATTATTAATGGAACCTTCTTTTAAGTTGTAATTAAGAGGTTATTGTGAATTCAGAAATGGTGTTGGTATTTGCTATTGTTCGAAGCCTAGCACCTAGGTGTGTCGTTTGAAATTTACATTTATTTTGTTATTCTATGACTAAAAACAGTGAAAATGCTGTTATCATGATGGTACAAGTTAGTTTGGATGCCCATTCAAGCAATGTGCATTTCACATAACGATGGGCCGATGGCAATAGCATTAGCATGGGTTTGGCATTTAGCAAGGGGTTCAAGGCCACACAACCCGACAAGACCTTATAGGTTGAAAACGATTTCTGACCCGACCCAACACAAGAATAGTATGCATATTTAGGAATGGCAACGGGGCGGGGCGGGGATATGGAGCCTTTTTCCCATCCTCGTTCTCACGAAAATTTTCATCTCTGTCCCCGTTTTTGTCCCCGCTAACAAGTACAAGGTTATCCCCATCCCCACGGGAATCCTCATTCCCCGTGATTTTTTATAATGCTAACTATTTTGTTTTTGTTTTTTATTTTATTTAAAAGAATAAAAAATAAAATAATTAACATTTACAATCATATTAGAAAATATTCAAACATATTTTAAAAAATATTAATATATAGATATATGCTTACATATTTACATATATAACATATGCATATATATATATATATATATACATATATATTAGTGGGGATCCCACGAAGCAGGGATCGGGGTCCCCGCCCCATTCCCGCTAACAAGG